TTTCATATAATTAGCGTTGATGGTTAAAAAAACTTGTAATAAAAACTACATTGGATAGTTATAATTTGTTAAAAATGACATTTTTTAAATTAATTTGCCCACTCATGATTTCAAAAATAAAAATTGCAAATAGCAAAGAAAAATATACAACAGACACCAATTTTTTAATCTATTGTACTACTTAAGTATTTTGTTTTGATATTAAAACAGTTTGCGTGACAGTAAACCGACCACAGAATTCTTAATAACATGTGTGCGGTAAATATATTATATAATTATGTAGGTATATACAGAGTTCAGGAAGTCTTGAACTTAACAAGCAAATAATAAAATGGTTGACTTAATAAAACAAAAGACTAGATTACTAGTGTTAAATTGTTGTGAAAAGTCTACGGTAATTCTACTGCACTGGCATGTGACCTATTTGATGGAACAGCTAAGTAGTTTCAATTATTCAATTTCGAAAAACAACTATAATCTAATGTGAGCAACTCCTGTAAAATCGTTAAGTATATTTCTCGATATTAACATAACAGTATTGTATTTATTGTGTAAGAGTTAAAGGTTTAAAACACAAATAGATCTTATAACATTGTAATTTAAGGGCCAGTTTTTATTGATAAAACTAATAATTCACCTGAAAATACATTGGAACCCAATATGAATGAGAATAAAGCATTAAATAATTTTGAATTAACTGCTCCAATGTGGTAAAAAAATAATGTTTTTTCCTAGGAACCTCTTCCCGAATTTACGTGCGCGGACGGTCCAACTAGTTTAATTGATACTGAAGATGATCACTCTCCGTTTTCAACCTTTCAATTATTATTTTCAAGCACTAGATTTACTTGTGTACCAAACAAATTTGTATGCACACCAATTAAAAATAAAAACTGAAAAAAAAATATACTCCTACTGATAAACGAGAAATTATGACTTTCCTAGATATAAATATTTTAATGGATATAAAACGTTTGCCAAGTTATAGATACTACTGGTCTACATCTTTAGAATTACATGATAAATACATCAGTTCTCTTATGACTGTAAATCGTTTTGGTTGGCTCCTCTCATATTAACACTTAAATCGGTTAAATGACAACTCGGTTATGCCAAAGAGGGATGAAACAGGTTTTGATAAGTAATACAGAGTTCAATCTTTTTAAAAAAAATTTCGAGAAAATTTTCAAAAATATTACTATCCACACAAAATAATTGCAGTTGACGAGTCTATGATTAAATTCAAAGGGCTATCTTCTTTAAGGCAATACATGACTAAAAACCAATAAAAAGAGGCTATAAGGTATGGTCGTTAGCTGATAAACATGGTTATCTTTGGAATTTCGATTTGTACACTGGTAAAATAGGAGACTCTGTTGAAACAAATCTTGGAGGACGAGTCGTTAAAGATTTAACAAATCCATTACAGCATAAAAATCGTAATTTGTACATCGATCATTTTTTTACAAGTGAACCACTTTCGGCATATCTGAAATCAAAAGGTATTTTTTGCTATGGAACTGTTAATAGTACTCGAAAATACTTACCAAAGTTAGAGTTAGATAAGAACATGAGTACGGGTGACATTGATTGGAACATGAGCGACCAGTATGACATTTCAATTGTCAAATGGAAACCCAAACGAGGAGTTACTTCGCTGTCCAACTTCCATAATCCAACTGATGTGACTGAGGTCAAAAGAAAATGTAAAGATGGAACAACATCAATGATTCCTTGGCCCAATGTACTTAAGGACTATAATACGAACATTAACTGCGTCGATAGATTTGACCAATATAAAAAGATGTATCACATAGACAGAAAAAGTCGCAAGTGGTGGCATATTCTTCTTTTTTTTTTTTGACGCAGCTATTGTTAATTCTCATATAATATATACAAATAATACAGGCGAAAAAATGACATTAAAAAATTGTCGTCGTAAAATCTCTAAAAGCCTCGTTTCAAAAACGCCGGCAGAGTTCCGGATCACCATCGCCCATTTCCATAAAAAAAACGTCTATATCACCAGCCATACGCAAAGATCAATCAGCACATCAACCGGTCAGGACGACGAGAAGAAGATGCGCTCATTGCAGCACTAAAGAAAATGAAGTTCGCACTGTGCATAGAATCGCACAGATTAGAAATGCACAATATGTGACGTGATACCGCATTTCTAAGTCAAGGAACTGTTTCAATAATTACCACTCGTGTTGAAATGTAAGTTTTTAAAACGGTTTACTATTTGAAGTATAAATTTTAAAAAGTTTTGATTTATTTTGTTTTATTTCAGCGCAAAAGGAACAAACCAACATATTTGATAATAATGCACAGCAGGACATTTTTTAACCCACCTCTTTTTATAAATAAAAAATCAATTTTTTTAGTTTATAATTTTTCAACATTTGTTCATAAGTAATAAAAAGTATTGTATCATAAAAAAAGTTTTAAAAAAATAAAGTTTGTGTGCAACTAGGGTTTTTTTATTTAATAAAATCTCGTGCCTCAAAAAGTTAAGGTAATTAGTTCAATGATTTTTAATCTTCAGTACTCGGAAATAGGTTAGGTAATCCGCTCATAGTAAATAATCTACCTAATTAAGCTATTATATTCAAGTGTAAAAAAGGTGACTAACTAATAAGTATTAAGAAAATTGTTCACGAGACGAGAGAGCCAATTTCAAAGTCCATTAACACTATTACTCGTTTTCTTTGCTCATTTTACATTTACTCGATTTATTTACATGATTTGCTTACTCGATTTATTACATTAACTACTGGTGTATTTGGTTTTGTACGCGATTTGTTTACCTGTTTACTCGATTTACATATTTGTATATTCGATTTGTACGGGTGCCATAAAACATATTCATAATTTATGTTTCTCGTTGACGAGAAGGAGTTCATTTTTAATTTAAATGTTTAGAAAACTGTACTTAAACCCAATTTTTTTTGTAATTATATGTATACTTATGGCGAGGTCGTTTAAGTAACATGATTTTTTTTTGTTCAAAAACGTGTCAAAAATAAAATCGGTACCTATTAGGTGTTGATTATTTTAAATTTGATTTTTTCTCAACAGGTAACCAAATTTAGCGATTTTTTATTAATATTATTACGTTTTTGAATTATTCAATCGACCAATCTCTTTGTCAGATAAAACGTGTGGTCATTGTTTACATTTGTTATCAGTTGTATCAATGTCAACTTTATCTGTAATCAAAATCGAGTATCTTGAACTACGGTTTTATAAGACACCATGTCCTAAGACTTTTTATTTTTATAGGTGACATATCAAGAAGCAACATAATATTAGAGATGAAATATATTTGCAATGTTCATACCAAACAAACTCGCGTTTAATATTTTAAAAATCGTTGCAGAAGTACTCGTTTTTAAAACAATTAAACGTCACAGTAAAAACACTTCCAAATATCAAGTTTCCTATTCCTATCTTTCATATTAAATTATTATAGTATATTATATATGATATACAAGTATGCACTACAATACACTTAGTTTAAGAGATTTAATTATACAAAGAAAATGTACGTTTATACTCCTAAGTCTTAGTTATCAATAAAAGAAATTATTATTTTTTAGTGTTTTTTCTTGGTATTAAAGTATTACACATATTATTTGTGTAGTCTCGATTGGGTAATAATTGGTAAAAGGTTTATTTTTGTAATTTTAAGTATAAGCTAAAAATATTTGTTAAAAAGAAAAAAAATTGATTGAAAAACATTCAATTTGTTTTGTAAGCGATACTAAAACACTTTTTTATTTTTAATTTTCATATCCCCAAGTAAACAATTAGTTACTATTGCTATAAATTGTAGTTACTAAAAATATTTATAGAAGGTCATAATTCATAAATGATTACACAACTGTAGTTGCGTTGTGATTTAATGTGTCACTATTAATGAGAATGTATAAGAACTCTAAGAGTTGAAGATAAAAAGTTAAGAAATTATTTTACAAAATACATTTAAATCAAAGTTACTGTGACAATCGTCACCTTGACTTATTAACATTGACACAAATATTGTTAATTGACAAAAAATATAATTATATATTGGTACTTCATAAAATATTTTCTATAAGCTTATTAATCAGAGTAATCACTTACAAAATAATATAACTATATTGAATATAAAGTTAGATAAGTAAGTTAAGTGTAATGAATATCGAATAAAATTAATTTTAATTTTAAAAATTAGGTCATAGATAAATACAATTTACCTGGTTATATCTTAAAGCGGGAACAGTGAAGAATGCAACAGCGTTTATAAGATATGTTGAGCAGAACAATACAAATTTAATAATGATTTTTACAATGATTGGCTCGATCAAACTTTATGTAAATAAATAATTTTTTATAGCTATATATTTTTTTGTTTTGATATAAAATAATAATATCTACCTACATTATACAATAGTCAATAGATAAGACAAATGGTTAGACGACTGATCGCATGTTTTACTCTGAGAAAAATATGCGTTTTATAAAATAAAGTATACCGGTTGTTCGTACAATCCATAATCTATTTTATGGATCATTGACCGTTTAGACGATTTATAGAAAAAAATCTCTTCTCGTTCTGGGTGCTGATGTTTATTATTTTTCTTAAAACATGTCGTTTGGGCAGTTTTGACGTTATCAGTAATCGGTATCTGGAAACTGGAAGTGAGCAATTTTCGGTTGGTAAACACTGTCGTTGATAACAGCTGCGTTAACTTCTTTTTGTCTTTATGATACCGTACCTTTGTTAAACCACAAAGAGAACGTAACTGTAAGGTAAGGCGCGTTGCAAATGGTAGTTACGTTCGGTTTGCGCTGTCAGACCTCCCACTTGTTAACCTTACGTTAACACACACCGCTGATAAGGTTATGGCGACCATGTGACGTCGTCGGAGCAACTCGGATCGTATGCGTCTTACCTGTTCACGCGTCGATGATGTCATAGTTGACAATTTTTTTTTTTTTATGTTGAATGTTGATAATTTGAAATGTTTAGTTCTAGTGTTTAGAGAGATAAAAAAAAAAGTAACCTACTGCTGTGGTGTCGTACCGGAATCCGGACAATATAAATGCTAATTACTAAATAATCAATTGCTGCTGTTTTTTTTATTATTTGTATTCCCGTTAACGTGTTGTGTTATTTTAATCAGTAAGATCCGTGTACATTTAATTTTAATTTTTTTATTCTTATTCAATTCAATTTTCGTTCGATGTGTTTGCAATGAACGGTATGACGTTCAGCGAGTTAATGTATTTATTTTGTTGTCCACCTTTGCCATCGAGAATCGCCGCCAAGCTAGCGTTCTTGCCGCCCCCGACCACATATGATTTCACCCCCGCCGAAAGTGGCGAGAGCAAGTATCACATAAAATTCAACGACAAGGCCGAATGGCAGTACACCGACAGCGACGTGCAGAACATTGAAGGGTTCTATGCGCGAACATCCCGTGGCAACCGCATCGCCTGCATTTTTGTCCGATGTTGCCCCAACGCTCGGTACACGATACTGTTCTCACACGGCAATGCCGTAGACCTAGGACAGATGAGCAGTTTCTATTTGGGCCTCGGCATGCGGATAAACTGCAATATATTTAGTTACGATTATTCGGGCTATGGGATAAGCAATGGCAAGCCGAGCGAACGGAATTTATACGCAGATATTGATGCTGCATGGCAGACGCTAAGAACGAGCTACGGTATAAGTCCCGAAAACATAATTCTCTACGGACAAAGCATTGGTACTGTGCCAACTGTTGATTTGGCATCTAGATATGAAGTAGGTGCTGTAGTTTTGCATTCACCGTTAACTTCCGGCATTAAAGTTGCTTTTCCCAGATCCAAAAGGAAGTGGTTCTTCGATGTATTTACGAGGTAATTTATTTATATTAAAATATTTTTATAGGTATATATATATATATACACCTATAAAAATATTTTACATTATGAAAAACAAAGTGTAATACTATTGGGAATACTGAATGTGTACCCATGTTATGGGTGTTCATAGTGTGTAGGCATATTTATACTCATTTTATGGGTGGTGGTTTCAATAATGGCATTTTTTGTTTGTTGTATAAAAACATTAACGTAAAGCATGAATTATGGTTTGTATTGTTTAATATATTATGGCAGACTAAAAGTCCATAAGCACTCTCATTGTTTTTTTAAATATATCAATAGTGTTCACTATTGAGAGTACATATAAGTGTACCTATAACCACACCCTATTTTATGACTATGTATCATAATCGAAGGTTTTAATTTACAACATAGAATCGTTTTATGTATGAGTGGGACATGTAAACAATTTTTGATTCTATTTATAATAGTTAAAAAATAAAATTTTACAATTTTGCCATTTTAACCGTAGCATAAGTTAAGACAAATTACATTCACAATATAATTAAATATTCTTAACAAACAATATTTGGTACGGTTTTGATTGGGTTTGAATTTTAAAAGAATATGTTATGTCACGTTAATTTAAGTGTATAAATTAGGTACACCCAGTAATTTTAGCAGACAACTATAGGATTGTTTTTTTTAACACGGTTATTTTATTTTTATAGAACTCTTATTTTTGTTGTTTAAAAAAAGTATTTTACAGTGCATTTTGTTTGTTAAACATTTTACTCACATTATATTTTTACCAAGATATAATGGGCTGTATATACTTAATGTTTTGTTGTACTTGACTTTGTGTTTTTATTTGTTACAGTATTGACAAAGTATCTGAAGTGAACTCTCCAGTACTCGTCATACATGGAACTCATGATGAGGTCATCGACTTTTCACACGGTGTAGCCATTTATGAAAAATGTCCGAAAGCAGTTCCACCGCTATGGGTTGAGGTAAATCATATTATTATGTTCCTACAGAAGTAAAATTTTTTTTTTTATGTATACAACCTAAAACTATTAAGGAATACTAATGGTACAAATTGCTCAAATAATGTTTTGCTTATCACTTAATTATTATAGTCAATATAAATAACCATAGTTTTCACTCATTTATCGATTAATTATAAAGTGACAATGTTAAGACAATTATACATTATGGTGTAAGCTACATTTTTGAAATGAATTATGGTTTTATATTAAGTGTTTTCACTTGAAATCCTTTACGAAATGAATAAAACACATTCTGCATATTCAAATTTTTACATTAAAAAATTTGGTGTAAATGACATCTTGATATGTTCATAGTTTGTATATCTAACAAAAAATTCAACTAGCTATTTTATCAGTTTTAATATAAATATAAATACTTTTATTTTTTTGGCTCTTAGTTTAAATTTTTTTCTATTGTTATATTATATGTTATGTTCTGTTAAAGTTTCTGCTTATCATTTGTATCATGGGATTATAACTTCTTATTTTTTTTTAATGTAAATGATTACTAATTGGTAATTATTTTTATTTTATTACTTACCATTATTTTGGAGAACAGCCATTTCTGATAAAAAAAGTATCATAGCCGGAATCAATTGGTGGACACGTGGATAAATAGTGTACAGCTCCTGTTTTAGGTCAATGTTTTAGGACCGATGTGCAACATATATTTAATTTGTGGTGGAGTGTATTTAAATTTGCCCACTGGCACATATTTTGAATGTAATTTAAGACATTCAAACGAGTATGTTTTTTCTCAATTAAATTTTGAAGAATATGATCTTTTGTCTTTTAGGGTGCTGGACATAATGATGTAGAACTCCACAACGTTTATCTAGAAAGACTTAAACAGTTTGTTTCGACAGAATTGCTCAACTGACACTTAATTAATAAAAATGAAGCAAGCCCATTGAATGGACAATCGCCCAAGACATTGACTAATGGCTCAGCGACTGAAAAATTACTTTGGTAATTTTTATTCTAAACATGATATAACACAATATTACATGATACATGAAATGTTTTGTACTATGTTTTATCACACTTATCGTTTATTTAAAAAAATTTTATCATTTATTACAAATCCATTGTACAATACATGTGTTTTTTTTTTTTTATCATTCGCTTAATTGTTATAGCCTAACCTAATTATTACTATTAAGAAAATAATTAAAACAATATTCCTAAACAATTATTTTAAAGTTTTTATATATACATACATTTGTATATATATAGTTATCTTTTGTAAACTATGATAGTATACATTAATTATTAATAATTTGTAATTAATAGAATGAACTATAATGAAGTATTGGTGTTTTACTGTTTTAGTTTTAAAATTATTTATTTATTTTATGTTAATTGTATTGGTCTATGTATTACATTAGGTCTATGTTTGAACTATGTTATAGATTTATAAGTTAAAATACATTTTTTTATTTTTAACCAAAGTAGTATTTTCGATTACCGAATTAAATAAATTTTAGCCGAGAGAAAAATGATTCTTAAATATTTTCAACAAAACTTATAAATAGTGTGTTCAACACCACAAATCAATAACTTAAGAGAAAAAAAAATGTATACTAAATTTGATGAATTTTTCGAATAAGTGTTGTTCGTTTTATTTTTGTTTTTACAAATGATAATTAATGTTTCTTCCTTATTAAAGTGCTAAATTTGCACCATTGTGACTTATTATAGAATCATGTTTATAAGTTTTTATATTATAATTATTATTGAGTGTTTTTTATTATTATTTTACATTTACTTATGTTCTAATACGAACAAAACAATGATTTTATATGAACCGATTGTTTTTTTTTTACAATATTATCTTTTTAATGTGACCATGTTATAAATTTAAAAACGTATTATAATGTAATATATACATATTGATACTTCAATACTTATTAGCCTTAAGTCTTTTTCTAATTATTATTGTTGTGGCCTTAAAAATAATTCTATGTAACTCATTTAACTTGTAGTATTAATTGATTATATACCGTTCTTATATTATTACCTAGTACCATATTTAAGTGATAATTAAAGAACTAAATGCACGCAAAATCTTATTAACATATTTAGAAAAAAATAGTTCTACATATTATTGAAAGAGAAAGTTCTTATAAATAATTCTGTGTGCTAATATGTTTTAAGTTTTAACCTTGTTTTATGTAGTTGTAATTTTGATTAGTTTCAAAACAAATATTCTAATGTTGGTTGTATAAGGTTTCAAACGAACTCGTTATAACTTGTATAAAATTAATAGGTAACGAATTTCTGTATTTTTATAAACAATGATTTATCTTTATTAAAACTAATTTCAACTCTAGTGTATTGATCGATTTTATGTCCGACACAATCTGACATTTATACTTCTTTTATTTATTATAAAAAAAAAAGACCATGTAAGATATTTAAATTCTTAAACAAAAAATGTTGTATAAGATAATTGTGCATTATATTATAACACGATGAAACATTAAAAAAAAAAACAAATTTAATCTATTGATTTTAATTAATATACTTTAAAAAAAAAACTTTTGTTTAACTTAAATCATGACCCTAATTATAAAAACTCTCCTTTTTTATACTAATTGTACTTTACTAAATTATAAGTATTGTAGTTTGATGTATAAGTATTTTGTTTTATGTAAAAGAATTTCATTTTTATTACAATACTACATAATACAAGTTAAGATGTGCACTATATCAGTCAATTGTAAATTATACTATAAAATATAATTTTTAAACTTATTAACATTAAACAATTATTTTATTACACAAGTTATTATTATCTATTATTACGATATTCAACACAATTTTTAAATTTAATTTAAACTTTTTATCAAAACAGTTGGCACATGATATTATTGGAAATGATACGATGCTGTGATTTTAAGTTTTTCGTATGCCATCAATAGCGTACGAATCGACAGACATACACCGGGTTCGTTTTTATTTGAGCCCAGATTTATTGAAAAATATGAATCTTACAGGATTATATTATATTGGATTTATATTCAAAATACCTTAACTTGTTAAGGCTTAAAAAAAAAACCCCGGTTCATTGCCAACTCTATCTGTAGGACAATATGCTCTTGGGTAACATAGTATCTATTCAGCGTTGTACATCGACTATTTTATTTTCAGATATAGGTACCTATAATAATAATAGTAATACAATTTTTGATTAAGGCATACGACTATCCGAAGTCATTCCATCCTGTATACTCGGAAACTGGCACACACCCATTGTGCCAAACAATGTGCCCCCCCTCCCCCACACACGCACACATTACCATTTACCCGCAGTGCTCTTTGCAATCATGTCGTCGGCGTGTTGTTGCTTTAAATGGTAGCGTCCAATGTTGTTAACCGCACAGACGACGTGGGTGCTGAACTGGTTTGAACAGACTTGTGGACAAAATATGTTCATTCCTCCCTTCTAAAAATGCAGTCACGACTATTATGGTGTAATATTAGTGTTTCCGTGCGAACCTTTCAGGGGAAAAAAACCTAACTCCCTGGTCATAGCCCTATAAAAACGAGCTGTCAAGCCAATTAAAAGAAAGGTTTGTATAACTGCTAACGTTAATATTATTTCAGTACGACATTTGAAATTGTTTCCTTTGTCGTTTATAGAAGAAAACAAAACAGAAAAGACCTTAACGCGGATTAAGCCGAGTTGGCAAATTTGCTGTTTTTGTTACTTCAAACAAGCATGACAAACTTATTATTCTAAACAATACGAAAATAGTATAGCAGTAAGAACTAAAGTAGTCTTTTTAAATATAAAAAAAAAAAAATAGCCGATGTGCTGAGACTTAGAAGGTATTGTAAGATATTGACGGGGTTTTGTTAAAAATGTCATATTATTTAACTTTTTTGGATCTACTTAATGTTACAACAATTACGAAAATCTCTCATCAAAAAATATCTACATGGGATCAAAATTTAAAAAAAAAAACTTCAAATTCTAATTTCACAAGTTTTACTTGTGGTTTTTGTGACCAGTGTCTAGTATTTCCAAAGTTACAGTGTATGTAAAAAGAAGGAGTACGTATTATAAGATAAGGTTTTACTAAATAAAAAAAACTTTTCAGAATTATAATTATTGAAAATAAACCTATTGAATGCATAACATATATTAAACTTTTTAACTACAATTTAAAACAAATATTTATCACTAAAAATCGCAAATGTTATGAGAGAATAAGACTATTAGCCACATAATAATATTATTAGTGGGTCCTTTTAGTCCAATATTGAACTGTAGGCCATTTATAGCCAATCTGACTGCTATTCGTTTGAACTTTGCCCTTCGATATAGTACCCATAGGTGTCACAGTAAAACCAGACAATTTGCATACATATTTTTGTACGTGCAAATCGGTCAGCACGCATCGTGATACACCCTTTATAATATTATATCGTACAAGGTCCGTCCTACGTAGTGAAGAAAAATACGGTTTTCGTGGTCGTGGTCGGTACCTCTGTAAAAAAACAAATATATTATTAATAATAATAATTATGCAACGCCGCTGGAGAATCACGGCCACTGACGCCTATTCAGACTGTACCGCCGACATACAACTATAATATTATATTATACATTTATACGGCGGGCATATACCTATATACATTGGGTCGGGTATTGTGGCGTTATAATAATATTATACTGTATATGAGAATACCTCTCCCAGCAGCCTCCGAACCAACCGGTCGCCACGGTCGCTCACAGCAACGACAGAAGCTATCCGCGACACTCGGCGCAGTGTGCGGCAGACGCGGTCCGGTTGTGGTCGACGGCGCGCTCGCCGCGTTCCTTTTGATAATAATAACATAATCATTTCTCAAGACAATTACACATAGGAAATAGTTGTCCGTATAATACATCTCACCGGTGTTGTATTTCCATCGTCTGAAGTCGCAGAAATCGCCGCCATGACGAGAAAACTCGAGAAATTCGTCATACTGTTCGACAACACGAACCTGTTGTATTTTCCCGGACAGTTTTTGAGCGGAAGAGTGTTGGTGGAACTCAAGGACGACACTCAGGCTCTGGGTAACGATTAATATACGGATTATATATGTATTTTTTTTTTATACTAACTTATACTGCTAAATGTATAGGTAGGTATACCGTCTAGCTCGCGAATAAAATAATTTATATATTTTTTTTTTAATTAACGCCAACACTATGTCCGCGAGATGCACTTAAACGTACACAAGTATTCTATTTGACTATGCAAAATAAAAAAATCTGATGTCGGCCTAGCAATTATTGTGGCGTAACCGTCGACCGAGTGAAAGTGACGACGTCGATGGACCTAGTGCGGCGGCGTAGGCGCGTACATAGAAAACATGCAAGTGCATTGTTTGCTCTCCAATTTGCACCTAATCCGTTTTCGATTTAAAAATAATGCCTATTGCGTCAAGAGAGGGCCGCAAAAAATGTCAAAATACAAATGTACACGATAATTAATATACATTGTGTACCCAGTACCCAAGTCACGTAGATCCATGTATCTAAATATGTCGATAATCCTCGTAACCCACACTGTATGTTATTAATTAGAGTGGGCAAACTCTAAACATCATAGTTGCATTCGGGTAATATGCTAGACGAATTTTAAGAAATTATCAAATCGCTTCGTATGGTATTCAGGAGTGCAATAGAAATTGTATACTCAGTTTTTAAAATATTGCTTGGAAAAAGTTATACGGGCAAACTGCTCATTTAGTTTTCGTGAGGGGAGAGTGAACCGTTTTGGATTTCTCCATTGGCGCCCATCGGGGGAGAAAGGGTTGACATATTCAAGATGAATGGAAGTATACACGTAGGTCGGCTTGGCTGGGTCTGGGAATTTAACACAGCGTGTGGGACTTACTAGGAAAAACAACTGTAAAATTGTGTAAAATATATAACAATTTTTTGGGGGCCCTTTTAGAGATTTAAAATCCTAGGCTCTTTAGGTACCAGATCAACCTTTTGTAGCTGATACAAGAAATCACCAATATTATCTATTCCATAATGATTTTGACCAAAGTTTGACATCATTAACTACCAGATGGGTGCAATCGGATTTTCTGTCATTTTAATTTTGAAAGGGATAATCAAGCACAGAATGCCTTAGACATTTATGATTATATTGTCGATATCTCGTAAAAGTTGAAATAATGCCCTCAAATAATTCTAGGGATATGAGCACCCCACCCCCTAATTGTGCGTTTCATTTTATTTTATATTTTCAATCTTGTTTATTTATTTTTATTAATAGGTAAGATTATATTTTTATTTTTGAATGGAGCCAGGTCAGACTTATGACACCCCCCCCCCATCCCCGCCTCAATACGAGTTCTCTGGTAGATTAGAGACAAATTTGCAGGCTATGTTTGACAGAACAGATAAAATCAAAATCAACGTTAGGTCGTTTGTCGATATCGCTCCTATAGCCTATAGGTAATATACATGGATATTAATATTATAATGTACTGTACGCGTTCGTCCTAGTGGTATTTCCTTTAACGGCGCGTCTCTTGCACACGTTAGGTATATATTATAATCATTCACTGCTCATCAACCATCTGTTGCGCGTTTTGCGTCACCATTCGTACATAATAATATTATAACGGTGTCCCTCCCGGCCGATGCGATGCCTAGCAAGTAGATTATTTATTTGTATACAATATTATATTGCATAGTTATTATAATCTTACACTAATAAAAATAATAATATAATATATATATATATATAATGTCCGCGCGTTTACCGTCGAACTTTTGGAACCCGGTCGCGGTTCGGTTCAACCGGAAAACAACAGCTAAGCCGTTTGCCTATAAAAAGTGACTTGCGGTGACTGACACTCGTCGATAAAATTATATAGTGTACAATAATATAAATGAGCCGATTGCGGTTTACACTTTACAGGTTAGGTATTTTGACGTAATATTTTGAGTGATTAAGAGATTGCTAAACACGAAGATTAACGGCACGAGCCATCGCTAAAGGCATTGCTATAAAGCCCTATTCGGAATGCTCATGTGCGACCTCTTATGACAATTGTGTATATGTATATAAATGATAATAATAACAATAAATGACTTTTCTCTTTTCTAACTCGCCGTGTGGAAGCCATAATAAAAAGAAACCGCTGCCGGCCGTCTCGAGTACGTCAATAGAGCGTTTATTTTTTTAATTGAATTCCTTTTAGCAATAATTATTTAAAGATGCACATTTCGACCTATTGCAATAATAAATAAAAAAACACATTACCCTCCTTATTTCGCAGCAGTCAAATAAAAAATTAATATGCGCCTAAAGAGAAATCTACGCTTTTGTAAATTGTCGTAAGGTGAGATGTAAATATAAGTACAATACCTAGTAGTGAAAACGGTGTTTACACCTATAAAGAGAATCGCAGATCGCTTGTTTGTAGAACTTTTTTTTCTCGTTCTCTTCTTGCCATTGCCGGTTTAGATTAAAATAATAATATCCAACATTCAGTTCCAAGAAAATCTAATTGATTACTGTTGTTTGGCGGGTGATATTTACATATTACATTTAAATAATATGATTTGTGCAGCCAAACAGAAAGCAGCGAAGATGGACGGTTTCACTTTTCGAACAACCTATACCAAGTTATATTATTGTCAGTTCAAAATTAACCGATACAGCAAAAAAATGTCCCAGTGAGAATTATAGTAATACATTGTTTAAAAAATAAAAATTTAATAACGTGTACATTATGGGCGTCTTTCCCTTTCTTAGATAATATGTTTTTATTAACACTTGAGTGGTTTTAGATCGGAAACACGGATCAACAATTATTTGAAGAAAAAAAAGAGTATTTTCAAGGACGTGTCTGTTTAATGGTCAAAAATCATTATTTTGTTTACGGTCTAAATATTTTTACTTGATAATATTTAAAAAAGAAATAGCGACTAGTTCACCTCTCTAAACATTATGATTGTCCCCTTTCGAGGTGGCATAAAATTAGTGTTTTTTTTTTCATTAGAATCACTTTTTTGTTTGTATAAAAAAATCATAGTCTACACTCTACTTTGCTTAGGTTATGTCATTGGAAACATTTGGTTTAACGCTCTCATTTTTCATTAACCAACATAATATATAGCTTGAGTCTAGAAAATTAGGTTGACACATACTCGAAAGTGGTTCTGAATTATTGTATTTATTAAATTAAAGTTATTAATTAGTCAACTCTCAAGAGCGGGGATCTAGAAGGCTATACTGATATTAAAACAGGTGTGTTGTTTATGGGTATTAGCTAATTTCTACCAATACAAGACTAATTCAAAAGATGATAGATATTTTTAAATAATAACACATATTGCTAGTTAAATTTTTGTATTATTTCGATCAACTTTATATAATAAACAAATTAAAATAGAAACGAGACAAAGTATTTGGCAAACGCTATTCTCAGTAAATCATGATTATATTCTCAATTAAAATATACAAAATTACTTGGACATTTGACAAATTTAAGATCCTTAAATTAAAAACGTTATATTTTTTTAAGAGCCTTATTTGTATGCATATTTTACTGATATTCGCTATTTTTTATGATTAGTTTTACAACCATTTAAATATTAAATTGAATAAAAAAATGTATATTGAACTATAAATAGATACCTACTACCGAGTACTGAGACTGTTGCATAAATCGTTAAAAATATTTTTATAGGCGTTGGGCGAGGAACGCGTGGGTAGCAAAACAAAACCCTCGCAGGTTCATCGGTAGTCGTTGATACAATTGTAATCTTATAATTGATTCACATTATTCAGTATATATATAAATATATATATATATATATATATATATATATTAAATCTACTATTATGTTATACTATGAAAGATCTGCGATACCTTATATGTAAGTGCATACCTTGCATATAGAGTAAAAAAAGTTTAAAATATAATATGAACTATGAACGTGTATACAATACAGTAATCAGTATACATACAATGCAGTACCTATTAAAAAAAAAGTGAAACATTTGTGTTATCCAAAATAATCTCAAATATATACATTAGTTCTCAAAGATTACTTTTTATTTTATCTTTCCGTTTTGTTTAACAATTTCAAGGTGATTCGATCCACTGTTGTCTTGTTTATTATTTTACAGTGTTTATATTTGCTGGCAAAATTTACTTCTTGATGATAATAAACAATGTATTGTATAATAATTGTATGAATAATTAATACCTATGCTGACGTAGTTCATTTGAATAATTTTATATAAAATAATAGAATAGATATTTCAAATGTATTCAAATTAAGTGTGTGAGCATAAGTTTGACGAGCAGCACGTTGAAAATTTATAACTTAAAGATATTATATTATAAATTTAGACTAGGTACTACAAGCAACTACTTAAGTTTCTTATTTTTTATTGATATTACCCTCAGCAGCAAAGGCCATTGGGTTACTTTAAATTAGATTTTACATCAGAAAGCAAAAAAATCAGATTAATACATTAGCTCCACAGTTAATTTTTATAAATAACCAACCAAGTTGAACTGAGTAATGAAATCTACAAGTTTGTTAATTGCTTCGGACTGCGGCTAGAGTGTTTCCGATATTCCATTGTACTACTTAAGTGTTATATTATTTTAATGAGAATAAGACGTAGTTCGGGTCGCAAATATAGGTGCGTCTCTCAAGTGTCACGATGAAAAGTATTGTCCTTGAGCAAAAAAAAAAAACGGGAACTATGTCGTCTAACATGACAATATATTATACAAGCTGTGTTGATTTCATTAGCGAAATTTTCGTTTAAAAGAATGAAATTGACCTAAATATACTAACTAACCCGCGGTACCAACCGTTAGTAGGATACTAAAAAACCGCCAATTAAGAAAACACTATTATAATATATGGTTTAGTATGGTACATAATAAATGTATTGCGATCAGTAGTAGGTAATAGCATTGATTATGTAATAGACATAATCAATGGTAATAGGTACACATTTCCCCAACACTAATGACAACAAATATTAAAATTTTTTTCTAAAGTGACATTATTGTTATTTTCATATTTCAAAGTGATTTTGATATATTATTAATAACTGTTAAATTACAATGGCTGCTCTATGCAGAAGTGTAAATATTAAATTTACATACATATAGGTTTTCCAACGATTTTTTTAAAGCAAACTCTTAACTCTTTACTTACCGACGCTATCCAACCAAATCCTTAAACCCAGAGCCGGTGGAAGGACAGTATAATTAAATCCAAAGGCACAACACATTTTTACACATTATACTTAGCCATGTCACGATGATTATTATTTACGAGTGGGTAAATTTCAAAATAATCAAAATCAATTAGGGCTTTAATTATAAAATTTGTATTATTATATAAAATTTATGTTTATTCTATACATGGATGTAAAACTTATCTACGGGAGTACTTTCCCGAATGTCCCACTCTTTCGGTTGTTATTATATTTATGTGGTTTACATTGTACGCATATACAACATCTAACGATGCATTTTTTTTTTTAAGGATTACATTTCCACGTCATTGGCGAAGGAGTCGTGCGACTTAAGAGCAAACGACGAGAGAGGGTTTACGACAAGGAAAACTACATTGATTTTCGAATGAGATTGCTCGGAGAACCAGGTACGAGCAAGCCCTAATATTATTTTTAACTAAAGTGTGATATTAGCCCGCCTCCTCTTACGTGTTCATTTTTATTGTTAATGACAGTCTTATACCATCTAAGCTATATCCACTATAGGCCAGTGAGTAAAATTAGTCATATCTGCGTAGTTGATAAGTAATATGACATAGTATGCTGCCTGTACTATACAAATGTTAAACAGTATTAAATTGTGTTTACTTCAGTTAAAAATATATTAGAAGCGGAGTGTGAAATAAGTTCAGACCGTAAATAATTTTTCATTCAGGGCACTACAACATATTTAGTTAATAAAATTAAAAATATATATATGTAAATCTTTTATTATAGGTAGTTGATTTTTATACATGTATAACAAAACATTTTCCAAAAAAAAAGTACTAGGCAATAACTCGTTAAAAAAAACCCTGACCCCAGTTAAGGGTTTTTGTATAAGCAAATAAAATGTTAACAACCCTTATATATTTTGGGCAATACCAATCATTTGGTAGACTTTCACACCCACCGGGTTTTTTTGACAATTAGATTCTAAATTATTTTTCTCGCTAAATTTAAATTTTGTGTTTGATAGTAAGCAACTAGTCAAGTTTTCTTAAGTAACCTCTAGCTAAGAAAAGACAGGATTGTGCCATTTTCAATGATTTAGTATAGTATTAAAAAAAAAAAGATAAAACCTAAAGAAAATTCGAATTTTAATAATGAGAGATCGTTTACAAAAATGTCAGCAATTGATAACAGATCTGATTAGGCTTCCAAACCATCTGAAAAGTCCAATTTCCAGCATGGTCACTCAGCCCACGACCACAGATTGCTGATTCTTGCCCCTTAAATTTGAATTGCACCACCGTATTTAACACTACTCTATTTGTTCCTATAGGACAGCCCCCTGTAATGCTGTCGCCGGGTATCCACAGTTTCCCGTTTAAGCTGGGTTTACCCCCAGGACTCCCTTCTACCTTCCTGGGCAAGTCTGGTTGGGTACAGTACTACTGCAAGGCTGCGCTGAGGGAGCCCAACTCATTGACGCACAAAAACCAACAAGTGTTCATTGTGATGAACCCGATCGATCTCAACATGGAACCGTCTATATTATCTGTAGTAAAAAAACTTTTGCAAGTCATACCGCTGGCGTACCGTCTGTAATGTCGAAATTATTTCCACAGGAACCATTTCGGTGCGATATTGATCACAAGCTGTCCAAAGCCATGTGCTTGGGATCGGGCCAGGTCGAGTGCCAGGTGTGTCTGGACAAAGGCGCGTACGTTCCCGGGGAAACTGTCGAAATCACAGCTATAGTTACTAACAACAGTAAAGTTACCATTAAGTCGACCAGAGCAACGCTAACGGAAGTGAGTCTGCGCCTATAGCCCACACGATATTTATAATAATTACAATTTATACATAATATTTTTTTTGTAACAACGATTGCAGACCATTCAGTATTTTGCCAAGGGCAAAGTCATACAGTCGGAAACCAGGGAATTAGCGTCACTGAGAAGAGGCAAAATCAAACCCAACGAAACTGATCAGTGGCGCAATGAACAACTTTACGTGCCACCACTACCTCCTACCAACCTACGTGGGTGTCATTTAATAAACATCCAATACGATATCTATGTAAGTACTAAATATAACTAAAACACCTCCTGCGTTCAAGGTCTTAACTACAGTAATTTTTTTTTTCATCATTTAATAAAATATGTATTATTTACCTAACCATGTAGGACGAAGTACGCAGAGTTAGTAACGGAATGAAGGGGTGGGGAGGGGCAAACGTAAGTCTTAACCAGGTAGAGGGCTTAAGCTTGTTTGTAAGAGCACCTGTTTTTTTTTATGAAAGAAATTCAGTAATATTTTTTAATATTTATAAACGATGACATAATACGACACCTAGGTAAATTCTGATTTCTCCAAAAGCCTTCAAATATAATGGCTAATAATATGTAAATTTTTTTAAATACAAAAATTATGTATTAGCTTGTAACTCCAAACGTAAGTTAAGTAAACTTATGTCTTCAGCATCCTTTTGACATAAAAAACACGTGTTTTGAAACAAGGTTTTTGCATTTAAAAAAAATTAAGATTTTTTATATAAATTGTTTACTATTAAGTGGAATGGTAAAAGAGGATAAGGAGGAATGACTGTGTGTTAGCACTTACTTTCATGGGTTCAACATTAATTGGTCACGGCTGGCTCCATTTATTAGACAAGGAACCATCCAGTGAAAAGAAGCCGATAAACCCTTTTCTGGCAACGGACTAACTCCCTCCTTAAAAAAGGAGGCTATTACCCTTGGTGGGCCGCATAAGCCGAACAATTTTTAGTAGCTATATTTTAATATGGATTTGTTATAAATGAGATAATTATCGCTTTATGGTAAAAATTACCCAAATATTGAGTTAGGTATTTGGAGTAATCTTACAACAATGTCTAATTCGTTTTTGTGAACTTTTATAGTTTATCATAGTACCGAACAATATGGAAAAAGAAGTTAAGCTACAACTACCCATTATGATGGGAACTTATCCTTTCAGAACAGAAGACGGATCGCTAGATGGAAAACTTGGAACACATTACCCATCAACTTTGCCAATATTGAGACCTTGGCTAGAAGATAAAACATTTAAGTGATAGATATACGTTCATTTAAATATTTTATGAATTTTCTCACTTGACTAACCATTTATCTCTTTCTTTTTTTATAAAAATAAATTAATAACAGATTACTTGGCATTGATATGATTTTAATTTTTTAAATATTATCTTAATGAATAACATTTTTTTGAATGTATGAATAGACAATTGTATAAATAATATTAATGATCCAGTTCAAAATTGCATCTCAATATTTTAAAAATACAATGTATTCATTCCCTATAAAAATGTTAGCAGTTTAAATAACAACTGAAAAAAAAAATTATTCCATAATAAAAAGATTTCCTGTAGGGAGTAATATTGTAAAAAGATAAAATTGTTTATATGATATTAAATTTATCCAGTTTTAAATTGAGGCATTGATAAATGCTTATTATTTGTAAATATATTATGAAAGTAAGGGTTTAGAGATTTTATACAATTGTAAAAAATTGTTTTAAAATAAAACTGTAAATAACCATTTTGTATTAATATGAACTATGCTCAATATTTAACGTGAAACAAAAATACTACCAACGAATGTAACATGGTTTTTTCTTACATCATTGAGGCCTTTTCCTGACCATCAATTAGTCGTTCCAAAAAAAGGGTAGTTTTATCATTATACAGGGTAATTAATTAACGACACCAATTTTCTTGGAAATAATAACAATTTTTCGCTTCTTCTTTCCATGTTAGTTATTTTGGCACTAGACAAAGGATACGAGACAAGGCGTGAGCGTGAAGCTAATAATTAATAAAAATGATTAAATGAAGGAATAACTATACTATATTTATTAATTAGACTTATCTACTATATTTTATGAGTTCACAGTAACAAATTTAGTCCGCCAACATAAATACAACACTTTCTAATTTTCATACCTTAATTCTACAAAACCTTGAAATTTATTGATTGTATCCCAACCTGTACAACATAAAGTATTAACTATCATGCGATCACTAAACATGATTCCATCTAAATGGTCCATTTCGTGTTGTATTATTCGAGCTGTCCATCCTTTAGCATCTAATTTTTGGGTTTCTCCATTTTCATTCACTCCTAAATAGAAATATTCAATACAAATAAGTGTACTTTTAAAATTTAATGCCAAGTAAGTAATTTTTTTTTAAAAAAAAAGATGTTTTGTTTCCTCAAGAAACTCTAACTAAGTAAGTTCTTGCTATATTATAAAGTAGGGATCCCAAGGCGCGTAGCGCAGCTCGTGGCAGGGGGTTCCTTTAGCGCATGAAAAAAAACTAACAATGGTCGGGAACGGCCAACCTGCGCCGCGCCTAACCGATCCTACTGTGCGTACCGCATCCCGATCCCCCTACCAAATCCCACGCCACGACCCGTGGGATCCCAGCTTAACACATTGTTGGCCAAAGCAAAAAATGAATATTTTTTTTAACCTGTCAGCAATATTCTGCTATATCTTGGGACATCAGCCGAATAACCTTTAAAACTTGCACACGATTCGTTAAATGTGACTATGGTGTGATCTAAAATTTTAACTTCTGGGTTTATCCAAACCTATAATAGTTATAAAATAAAAACACATAAAATACAAATGACGAAAATAACTGAATTATTTTACCTGTTGTTCTACATGTTCCATCTGTTTTAAACATACTTCTTCTTTACTATAATGTTTTAATGGATGCGGAAAATTAATGACAAATAATTGGAGTGGTATGCCAACTTGAGGTGCTGCTAATCCAATTAGATCACATCTTTTAATCGTCGATTTTAAAACTGAAATTAACTATAACAAACATAGGAGATTTCAGTTTAAAAAAAATACTCCAGTATTTATAAAAAATAAAGCTGTTATTAAAATTCTTACCCTATTTTCTTACATTTTGAATTTCCTTAGAACGTATGCCGTCATCATCAATTGGAAAAGCTTTATTTCTTAGCACTGGATCGCCAATCTGAGCAACATGGTTTGCAAATGGAGGTTTAGAAGGTTTTGCAAGAAACATACGATTGTAGGTTCGTTTGATGTACCGTAAAACCATTTTGATTGAACACTAAAATAAAAAAAGATTTTTACAAAAGTTTCTCAATAGCTGCACTTAACTATCTACAATACTTACACAGGTATTTTGTCTCAAGAATTATGGTTTTTATTAATGTCTCAGGTAACTACTGCTATAGGGTAAATGATTTATATGAATCTTCAAAATGAGTGTAAATTATGGACAGTTAATCACGATTATAAAAAACTTCATACAGTTTTTAAAGAGAATGTTTACAAAGTTCTTCGGCATAAATTACAATATGTGAAGGCTGAAGCAAAAACCATCGAGATTATCTTGATGGCAAAAACTAGAATTTTTAAGATAATGAAGATGATAATAGTTTATAGTATGAAGTTAGCAATACCTGATAACAAATTACCGGCAGACGGCACGACAACAAGATGAAGGTGCTGCAGCCTATGGGGGCATTCTATAAAGTATTTAAATAGGAAATCCTACTAACGAGTATATTCATACTTTGCTTGGACATAGCTTAAATATAATAATATATTGGTATACTTAAGTCTTAAGTCATGTAAAAACACTCAACAGCCTGCAGCATCAGCTGGTGGAGAAGAGACCGATCGTCTTTGGACAACGCATTCCCTCCGAAATCTGTAATCATAAATTGTTGTCTGGGAGTTGCTAGCTTCATACACGTACATTTTAGAGGTTTTTCGATTTTCAAAAATTAATAACAGATAAAACGCCGAATTAAGGAATACAAATATTATTAAGTATATACATAATAATAATAAATAATTAATTTGTTTTGACAATGGTGCGTAAAACTTCGTTAACAAGTAGTGATGTAATTAAATAAAATTTAATTATAAATTTAATTTTATTAAATCGTTAACAACTTATTGAAAACGGAAAACTCAAAATTTGTATTCAAACTGATTTTTCATTTCGTTTTTTCAAACTTCATCGACGGTAAATAGTATGGTATACAATATAATATTGATATCAATGTCTTCTATTATAATTGACATAGTATTTACATAAGACATAATATTAAGCGCCAGTGTCTCGTTTGTCTACTATAACTAAACATTTTATTTTTTCACAATAAACAGCAATTTATTTCTAATTGAGACAAATGTAATATTTTGTAATAAATCATAAATAAAAATACAAAATGTTTTGGCTGTCAATCTGATGAAATTCCTTGTTAGGCTAGAACTGTTTTTGTTGATCAGTTTTAAATCAGTTGGAACATCTGAAATTCTTTCCAAAGACAAGTCAATAGACTTTCTAGAAAATGCACTACTACAAAGTTTAACTTCATTCCAGAGATTTATTATAACATTTGGTTTTATGGTTCTTGCTATTGTGATGTTTATACTGTCATTAAAGTATTTCTGTAAACAGGTGATCACACACTCTTTTCAGGAACATTTTAGTCAATGTTTCCATGGGCAAGTCCAAACCAGTTCTTGATCAATTTTACTGAAAATTCAGAAAAATAATCGCTTACTTGTGATATAAAAAACCACATTTACATATCAATTATCATAATATGTATAATATATGATAATTATATTATTTAATATATTGTATGGATTAATTTAATGTATATTTTATATCATATACCTACATTATACATATTAGAAAAGAAAATTTAACAAAAAAAATAATTTGTACTATTTAATTATATTGTTTATTAAAATTTTTAAATTACCTATAATATATTTTTTTACAGATTTTTTTTGGAAAGAAACTGGATAAGATGTTAAATCAAAAATATCTTTAAAAAAAAAACATGAATCAACAACTGATCATGATACTGCTAAAATATTACTACTGATATACTATATCATATATTACTGATCATGACAACATAATAGATTCAATTTTTAATTTTATTTTTAAATCCTAGTTAAATATGGTAAGCATTGCAATATCTAACGTACTTATCAACACATGCCAAACTCATTTATTACTTGATATAAAAATATAAAATTCATTATATACAATTTCCCTAAAATTGTTACAAGAACAATTTATTCTTATAGCGCCGAAGTTTAGCGCCCAGTCAAGCAAGTAAACGGCCTTTAAGTGACTCAAATGAATCTACCAAGTGTAAGAAATTTACAGGCTCTACAATATCTCAACAATCAACAAATGATGATGAAAAATGTGCATTACAAATATCTGTATATGTAAGCATAAATAATACTTCTAATTTATTACTCATTTTAAATTTAAAACTATTAGTTCCAGAACAAATAGAGGAATGGACTGATTTAAAAATTAATCCCATCAATACTGATTATCATACACACATCGTATACATTAATATAATTAGGATACTACCGTAAATGTTTGTTTTGTTTTTAGGAACAAAATATAAGAAATATATTAGCCAAACCATTTAAAGTTCCAATTGCAAATTGGTCAGGAAGCAGTTTAAGCAGAGCTTTAGGTGTTCGTCGTGATGGAGTCCGGCGCCCTTTGCATGATCCTACTGCACCCGATGCACTAATCTTATACACACCACCACAGATAAGTGCTCATGAACTGTTGAAAATAGAAAAGTATGTATAATTTTAAATTATATTTTCATTATTTAATTTATTTATTCTCTTACATTATAATTAGTATGTTTTCAGGGATAAGGTACAAGTCCATGTTGTTGTAGATCCGGCTTTATCAAAAATACTGAGACCTCATCAAAGAGAAGTTAATAATTATTTTAATGAATCCATGTTGATTTGACATTTTGTTTAAATTAATATGTCTTATTATTATATTTTATCCTATATTTTTATTATTAATCAATAACTAAAAATGTATGTTAGGGGGTTAAGTTCATGTACGAGTGTGTGACTGGAGTGCGAATAGAAAATGCATATGGGTGCATCATGGCAGATGAAATGGGTTTGGGTAAAACCCTTCAATGCATCACTTTGATGTGGACATTATTAAAGCAAGGACCTGATGCTTCTCCTACAATATTTAAAGCTATAATTGTCACACCTAGTTCTTTAGTAAAAGTAATGATTCATTTTTTTTTTTTTTTGAAAAGTAATCGTTTAATTTTTCTCAAATTTATTTTTATGTCAAATACTTTGGAATATTAATTTATTATAACGACTTGTTAATTTGTATTCCAGAATTGGTGTAATGAAATAAAGAAATGGTTGGGAGGTCGTATCGGAGCTTTACCAGTGGATGGGGGTGGCAAAGAACAAGTAGACAAACTAATTAATGGATTTGTTCAAGCGAGAGGTCGTCGAACAACGGATCCAATATTAGTAATATCTTATGAAACTTTTCGGAGTCATGCAAACATGTTACAAAATGCTGATGATATTGGGCTTGTGTTATGCGATGAAGTAAATAATTTATTATAGCTCAGCCTGTGATATCAGATACATACTCAATTTTATTTTCATCAGGGACATCGATTGAAAAACTGTGAAAACCAAACTTATCGCTCTTTAATGTCATTGAAAGCAAAACGAAGAGTACTGTTATCTGGCACTCCTATACAAAATGATTTGCTGGAATATTTTAGCTTAGTACATTTTGTCAATGAAGGAATTTTAGGGACTGCACAAGAATTTCGTAGACAATATGAAACACCCATTGTTCGTGGCCAAGACTCTTGTGCTACTGACTCTGAGCGACAAAAGGCCAGAGAACGTTTGGAGCAATTAATAGCATTAGTAAATCGATGTCTAATTCGAAGAACGTCGGCGTTGCTTTCAAAATACTTACCAGTCAAAACCGAACATGTTGTATGCGTTAAATTAACACCTTTACAAATTGATTTATATCAGCATTTACTGAAATCAGATATGGTTACTAAATCAATTAAAAGTAAACACAATATTATTATTTTATTTTAATATTTTCCCTCTCTTAACTATGTTTCAATAAGAACAAAAATTATTATCATGTGTGCTGCTGTTTTTTTCATTTAGTATTAGTATAACTATAAATTCTAGCATACTTATGTACTTAGTTCCATTTTTTTTCTAGGTGAGGAAGGTAAAGTCACTACTAATGCCTTAGCTGCAATAACATTGTTGAAAAAACTGTGTGCACATCCAGATCTTATTGTGGACAAAGTGATGAACGGAACTGATGGATTTGAAAATGCCAAACAATTGCTGCCAGCAACATATGTTGCTGCTCAGTCAAAGTAATTTTAAACCTTAAAAAACTATAAATAATTAAGAACAAAATATTTAAATAATCTTTGAAGAAAATCTAAATAAATTGTTTTTAAATGTATTATGCTTTTTAAAAAAAAAATCAGACGGGTAAAATTATCACTAAAAACAATAGTATATAGTTCGTTTTATATTTTTTTATTAAAAAAAGTTTTACAATTGGTACATTAATCATAAATGAAATTAATACAGTATTATTTGTTAGTACACTGTACTGTTTATTTTGAAAACTGATTATCCTCCCCCATCCCCCAAAAAAATATTTATTAATTTTAAGTGGCTAAAATATTTAATATTAAACATTTTTTTACACGTATGAAAGATAAATTCATGTTTCAAAATTAATTAATCTAACAATTATTTTGCAGAAATCGACTGATGATTGAATTATCATCTAAATTAATGGTTCTGGACACTATGCTAGCTGTTATAAAATCAACAACTACCGACCGAGTAGTACTTATATCTAATTATACTCAAACATTGGAACTATTTGAACGACTAGCTAAACTACGCAACTATACGTTTGTTCGATTAGATGGATCTATGACTGCTAAAAAAAGAGCAAAAGTAAGTCGTGTTGTGTAATAATATATATATATACATATTATTATTATTTGAAAAAAAATGTACATTTCAATTATTCTAAGCTGTCAAATTAATCCTAACCAACAAATACTACCTATTAATTAAAGATTGCTAAGTATGAAATGAAGCCAAAATTATTCTTTGAACAAAAGAAATATCTTATTATCACTACCTATTAGTAGGTCCAGCGTTCGCTGGAAGTAATTAATTGAAGTTAATTGAAGTATATAAGTCATAGCTGGACATTATTAGCGTCCATAGGTGACAGGAAGTTTTGAGAGAACTTCTATGTATTTCAAATGATACGACGTATGTCAAAGTATATGATGTCTGATCCTTGAAAGAAATTCCTCCTGCTTACATATTAAGTTATCCAACCAAATGTTCTTTATACATGTGCATGTCACAATACATGTACACAATTTCTCTCAATTTATTTTTAGAATTACATAAAAATATCTCCTTACAAATTAGAATATTTTGACATTGTAAAAAAATTGTATTAATCTTTTAATATTTACCAATATTTTTTTATTTATAGGCTGTTGATGACATAAATAGCCCAACAAGTGGTACGTTTTTATTTATGTTGAGTTCAAAAGCCGGAGGCTGTGGTTTAAATTTGATTGGTGCCAATCGTTTAGTTATGTTCGATCCAGACTGGAATCCCGCTAATGATGATCAAGCAATGGCTAGAGTATGGAGAGATGGCCAGAAAAAACCTTGTTTCGTTTATAGATTTTTAGCAGTAATTTTTTTGTTTTTATTACATTTATTTTACCAATTTATTAATTTATTATTAATGTTCATAGACTGGAACTATTGAAGAAAAAATGATGCAGAGGCAAGCACATAAAAAAGCATTAAGTTCGAGTGTAGTTGACTGTGAAGAAGATGTTGCTAGGCATTTTACAGCCTCTGAATTACGCGCCTTGTTTTTCCTCCGTCAAGACACTATTAGTGATACACATGACAAGTAAAAAATTTAGAAAATAATTTATATTACATAATTGTTTAAATGGCAAATATTAATTATATATACATTTTTTTTTTAAATTTAATATTGTACTTATGCTTGCCAAAGGCCAAACTTGGTAGAAGTTCTTTAATAATTTGGTGTTGTAAAACTCATATGAACTTGGGACTCATTTGAACTTTAAAAAAATTAATTGAAAAATTATTTTATTAATTTATAATATTCTGTTTTTTTACATAGAATAAAATGTACTCGTTGTGTAAACAATATTCAAACAAAAGGACCTCCAGTCGATAGTGACTGTACCAATGATTTATCATGTTGGCATCATTGTGCAGACAAAAGATGGTTAGTTGATCCAGTTCTCAAACAATGTTGGAGTGCAGGAATCAGTATGGTGTTTTACCATCATTCTACAGTGCATAAAGAGGTTATGTATTTCTACTTTAATTTGTATTTACTATATTTTGCTGGTATTTATTTTTATACACTTTTTAATTTTGAGATTGCATCTCTGGAACTGGCAACTAGTTATAACCTTTTATCTTTATAACATCTTTTCATCAGGGCCTTATTTAGACATTTTGAACCATAAGGCAAAATATATTTGGGGGGCCCATCCCATGAATTAAATAAATCCCTCCACAATTCTCCCTCCATTTACTATTATTTTGTTACTACTAGGAATGAACCAATTGATTGGACAATAATTTTTGACTCTTATTGAAAGGGAAACCGCCACAAAAATAATATTTAATTTTTACTCTCACAGCTGACCCATAAAAGTACTTTCCACATTTCAAATTTCAACTCCACTTTTTTTAAAAACAACTCCAAAAAGAGTATTAAAAAACATCCGTGTTTTTTTATATTAACTTTTACTATTTATTATTTTTATGGTAACTTATGTTTTTGCTTAAAATGATCAAATGAGTTTCAAATATTTTATTCTGTGCTCGTACTATACTTATAATCGATAAGTATGCAATATAATTCTCTAAATGAAAATTTGCGAAAAATTGCCTATACCGAACGCCTTAATAAATAAGTTGGTGCGTCTCTTAAACTGTACATGCGCGATTAATATTGTGCAATTACATAGCTCATCTATATTAGGGATACTGTAATTGGGAAGTATAATAAATAAAAAAATACCGTATATGTGTTATTAAGGTTTGATGAACTATCAGTATAATACCTAATATTATTTTGAAAATAATTCTTGCGTACGAATTTCATATTTGTGGTAATATGTATTTGATTTCCTGTGACAAAATAAAGTGAAAATATTGTAACTAATCAATTAAATAGTATTGAATTATTTTTAAAATACATTATTGTTGTGTTGAAAGACTGCACGATTTAAATTGAAACATGAAATCAGGTATCGAAATTTATCGCGCGCATTATTAAATAATACAATTAGCCATTCGTTTTCTGAAAAATTCACAATTTTTTCTCGAACAAAAAAAAAATCTAAAATTAAATGTTTTTCAAAATCGGACATTCATTGTACACATTAAAAAGAATGTTTCCAATTCTATAAATAGTAAAGTATATTTTTAAAAAAGAAAAATGAGTAGAGTAAAATGTGAATTTTGCCCAGTACTTTATCTGAATCTTTGAAATATTATTATAATATTAATTGTCCGTATGGGTAGTATGATATTTTCAATTAAATTTGTATTATAAATGATAATATTTCACTTAATTTTGAGTAATAAAAATGTGTAGTAAAGGTTTAGAAAAAAACTTGTTCTTTGCACAATTTATTGATCCAGTTTTACTGTCTCAATATTATTGAACGTGTAGGGGCCACTTAAAAGTTTAAAGGTTTTCGTCACGCCACTATGAAAATTAAATATTCATCTACATACACGTTATGTTCACATCATGCATTACTGGATCTATACTTACTGTTATTCGTTTCCTAAAGGGCAAATAAAACATGTTTCTTTTTTTTAGTCACGACATTATTATGTTTGATTTGTAATAATTCATTATTCATAATAGCTCAACAAAGTTTTGAGAATTAAAACAGTTGCTGGTTTAAGGTTTTGCTTACATATCCGTCAGTTATATTGTTGGGTTTTTCCACATAAAATAATTGTATTATACAAATTTTATTTATGGTGCATGAAATTACATACGTTTTGTCTGTTGTGTACAATTTCCGGTTACCAAGATTATTTATCAGAAATTTATGGTATAGGTCTATACTTTTCCGTAAACCATTGTCCATTTCTCACGAGCTAAACATTTTTATAATTTAAAATCCTTATATTCTTACAGACAAACACGACAATTATTTAGGAACTATGCGTTGCATAGGGGTTCTCCCTTTCCCCCCTCAAATCTGCCTCAATGGTTGTAAATTATAATCATTGTAAACAAATTTTGTGACGAAATAATACTGTTTTTTTTTTAAGTCTTTCGAAATATTAACTTGTATTACGGAGACCACAAATAGATCATTCGTCAAAACAACTTGATCATTTTTCTAATATTTTGAGCTTATTATACAGGGTGATCCATCTGATGTAAGACACTCATTTTTCCGGAAAATTTGAATATTTGGAAAATTATTTTTTTTATACTTGTAGGACGTAGGTACGTATTTTACTAAATTTTTCAATACTAAGAAATATTTAACTTTCATCCTTTATTCGTAAAACATATGTATTTAATTGTCTTAAATCTGTTCGTTTGCTATGACTGCAAAAATACTAAATTTTCCCTTATAAGTATAGTCGTATACCTTCGGTTTGGCCAAAATCCAGTAGCCTACAAAATTCGTATTTAACCCTGCGATAGAAATTTTGAAAAAAAAATACTTAGGGACCGCACAATAAATATTGTTGTTGATGAATATTTTTTAATTGCAATTTTGTACTTACTAACCACTATTTTTACAATAATATGTAATTATAAAATTAACAATTGTTTTTTTCTTTAGAAAGAAATCGTTAAAGAAGAAACCGAACAAACTGACACATGCAATGAAGCAGATAACGATGTTACCTAATAATTTATTTATCTTTTATCTTGATGTGTTGATTAAATTATTCGCATTTATTTCTCATTTTATTTTATTAAAAAGATTTTGTACCTATCTGTTATATTATAAAAATATTTGATTTATGTTATTATTTATTGATATTTTTGGTATATTGTATTATATCTAATGTTCATGTTACAGTTCTCAATTATTTTCTTACAATAAATACTTAAGTTATTTCTGGTCGAAAGCCCTTAAATTGGTAGAAGTGCCTAAAACTAGACTTATCCATTTTAAACAACCGTCGTAAAACAAGGTTTGGTTTTTAAATTGCAAATTGTATTAGACAATTTCAAAAATAACATCAGTACTGTAGTCAAATGTATTTGAGATGGGGGAGAGGATTCGCTAATCTCCAAGTGACACTGAAAATATACTTTATCGAAACTTTCTACAATTATTTCTAGTTACTACACACTTCTACCCAGCAACGGTGGGATTCAAACAACTCTTTATAGTTAGAAAACGGTTAGAAAATTCTAGGAAAGAAACTAGCGATGGGGAAAATATATCCTCAGTTTAAAATTAAAATATCAATATTTTGTGATATTTTTCTTAGGTTGATATTATATTTTATTAATGTGTTATCGTCGATTTATTTGTATATGTTTGTAAATTATTGAAAAAACCTTATTGATATTAAGATATTTTATATTTATCAATAAATTTGATTAATAGAGGTCAATCCCTAGACTGAAGTTTGAACGGCTGTTAACTAGGTAACCTTTTGCCCTACGGGTGGTTATACCTAAGTGCTTTTCTTTTGACAGTAAACTATGTACCTAGCGCTCTCTAGGTGTCATTATATTTTCTACCAAAATGGCAACATGGCAAAAGATATACGTGGAAGGCGGTGTGTAGCGAGGTGGCAGGGAGGGAGGGGCTGTGAAAATCGGGTTGTGTTCAACGTCGTCGTAGCGGGCAGCGGCTGTTCCGTGCTGAGCGCTACACCGTTATCCCCACCACCCTCCTTCATCACCAATGTTATGGCGAGCGGTGAATGCATTCCTCGGCTACCAAGGACGGTCCGACCGACCGACCCGACCGACATTTTAAGTGAAGCCGCGTAAAAGTCGGAACGCTGCCTAATGTTTGCATCGATGTATTGTCAAATATTTTCAAGATGCCTGCATTTAAACAGTACTAATAATAAGTAGTAGAAACGATATATTATATCATTATAATAATAATAGTAATAATCCATAAGTCCATAAATATTATAAATTATAAATATGTCAAATAATTAACTTTAGTGAATCGAAAAAGTGTTTAATTTTCGTAATTAAGTTTTATTTTTTTTACTTAACAAATACCAGTACGGTATTCGAGATTTTTAATTTTTTAACATTGTTTATTACAAACACACACAGCATCTTCGAATTACGCATATTATTGGGTAATCTGTCCTCAAAGAAAGCGACGAACAGCCTCCGATAAAATGGCCCTTGTCGCCAATTTAGACGGGCCAACAAATTTACTCGATGAAAGGTGCAGTAAAACAAATAAGCAAAAAGATGCCTCCCTATTATCAGGGAACACATTTTACATCTATTACTTCTCATATATTAACGTTAAATTGTTATGTATCACTGTGCAAATCAAGGCCGTGTGCGAAATTATCAGTAATTTTTTTGGGGAATACGTAATATTCTGAACTATTATATTAGTATTAGATGTTTTATGGAATTTCGGAAAATTACAGATAAGGATCATGATTTACGCATTCGGTCAAAGGTAAAAAAAGTAAAAAAAAAAATCGATTATCATTTTTCACGCGTTTAATATCATAATCATATAAATGTACAGGATGTTGTCCGTCTATCGTAGTGTCGGTATGTGCGCAGCCGCTTTGGACGCCATCTTGATTTTTCTTTATTTACCAGATTCAACTATTGATTGTCGGATTACCGATTATAGTGTATGCGTTGTGCATCTTGTTCCCCTTCTCTTTTACGATTTTTCGCTTGAATTTCATGTTATCGTCATGACTCATTATCCCGGTTCACCTTTCTTTTTTATTGTTTTTTACATAACACGAAGATAGATTAACGCTTTAACATTACAGTCAACGCGATAAATTTTTTTTTGTTTCTTCTATGTTTCGTAGTATCGTGTATGGGCCGCCATTTGTTGATTGGTTGTACGGTGGTGTTACCATTATCTACTAAATGAATGACGGTCAACCGCATAACAATAATTGCCGTCACCGTCACCAACGATCGTCGACTGTTCTGTTTTACAAATTATTATTAATCATCCAAAAACTATCTGAATCGGATACAATTTTGTTGTCCAAAAAGCAAGGCGGATTTTTATTAATTTTATGATGCTTTATATTGTGTCGTTGTAATACGATATTATGTCCAACGACTTATTTTATTGAGTATAATACTATAACGTCCCACCCACAAATACACACATAATCACAAAATATGGTATTAGACCTACAAAGTGATGTATCTCAAAGGTATCAGTATAAAACAGCAATATAAATCAATAAAATATAATTTATTTATATAGTTTTTTTATAAACGCGTTTAGTAATTTATACCTACGTACTGGTTATTTCATAATTAATCGTTTTGATTTTTGTAATGTAAAATAGCAAGTTACGATTGTTGAACCGTTTTTAATTATGATTATTATTATTATAGTTAATAAGTTTAATATAAGTTATAGTGGTAATCCGAGGGGGAGGAATGCCTCAGTTTAGATTTTCCGCGGAAGCTGGAGAGGAACGAGGGTAAATCGTTGTTTCTATGGCCATGACCGATATTCATTTTTACAATGCCCTATATCGGATGTTCTTCCGGGGTTCCGCAAAATCGTTAAACGCTACATAATACATGCTATGGTTTTTCCCTGATTGATAGAAAAATAAAGGTTTTTTATTATTTTAGATTTTGGTGTGTATGTTAAATACGTCTGTTTTAATGACATTTTTATTGTTGGAAATTGTAATAATGTAAAATTATTTATTCTGGTGCCAGTTGTTTTTTAAAAATTGTATGGATATTTTTAGCGACTTCACAGTTTACTTTACTAAACACAATTTCAAGATGCCGGAAGTTCTATTGCTATTTCTGTTTTTCTCTTTTCTATTCGCTCGATATATTAGGCTTTATTGCTAATTGGCATAGAATAAATTAAAAATGCGACGTTGTCAAATCATGTCTGGTTAATAGATTTATATAATCGGCGTAGCAAACAGAAAAATTATTTTGACATTTTTTCGGTTAAAACCGTTGTAAATAGCTTTTATCTAAACTATATCAGGAGTTTTTTTTTTGTTTACCTATTGTTGTGTTACTTGTTTTGTACTTCTCAGTATTTTGTAATGAATTATTTTAGTATCGGTTCATCTGTTTCGTTAATGTATGATGTATAGTAGTGATATAAAGTCTGGTTCTGCATATAATTTCCAACGATTTTGGTTTATTTTTCGCACTATATTCCGGTCACTTGCTAGATCTAATAACGAATTTTAACAATTCAAAGAACTTTTACGGCAAATTAAATATAATAATATGCCAAAACTTTTTAACATATTTATTGATATTTGATTTATAATTTCGTATTGGTTTAGTTAATTATCGATATTTAAGACAAAAAAAATATCGAGACGATTTTCTGAGGTTATCGATTATGTTACTTATAATAATAATAATAATAATAATTATCATCATAATAACAGACTTATTTTTAATTTTGGCATTTGTTTTTAGACTTTGTTTGTGCTACACGTGTCGATTAAACAAATAGTATTTCTGCCTTTTGTTTAACTTTTATTCGGTGTAGGTATTCATTATTTTCGTAATATATTATCTCGATTTGAATATAATAATTATTGTATACATATGAAGTTTGAACTTTATTGTTTATTTGTTAAACGTGGGTTTATTGTTTTTAAAACTTCTGAAAACTATTAATGTGCAACCAAATATTGTTGATAAAATAAATTAGAACATAAATAATAATAGTTGAAAAATAAATAAATCATAAAATATAGGGAACAAAGATGGTTTCAATAGTGAATTTCAATTGAAATATTATACAAAGAAACGCTTAATTACGCTTGCTAAATCTCGTTTTGACTGTTATCTGAACGTCAAACATATTCGAGTATTTTTTTTTATAAATTGAATATGTAGTCTTCTAATTAGTAGTATTATTTTATGGTCTATGAGCTATGCAATTATTACAATTAAGGACTTTAATATTATTAAATAAAGTTCAATTGACGTACACATTTATGGAAGTTTTTTTGGAGTATTGTTATTTTAATAACAAATTTATTTATTTAGTCCTCAATTATGTGTACACTTGTAAATGTGTTACATCTTAAATGTATACTACTAAAACATGTTTTAATGTTATAATTCACTTAATTTATTTTTATCCAACTAAATAAACCAAATGAATAATTTAAACAAATTTGAAGTTTCTTTATTAAGTTTGGTTAAGTTGAATTAAATTATTTGTGTGATCCAAGTATAATTTTATTTTATACACTTAGATTTTTTATTATCCAACTATTTAAATACCTACTTAATTTGAGACCAAACATTATCAGTTTTAAGTTGAGATAAACACTTAATACTTGGTTATTTAATATATTTTTATATGATGTTTGCTAATAACATTTAGTCATTAAAATGTATTTATAAAAATTACCAAATGATCATTGGCCATTTTGAAAAGGCCTATAAACAAATTATCTCAACATACAAAATTTTAATAGTTTATTTTTTTTCAAATAATTATTTTGAATAAAAACGTTATAAAATACTATTGAAATATAATAATAGTATATAATAATACTACTCGATAGACAATTTTTAGTTTAATCTCTAATTAACTAATTGTATTGTTAACTTATTAAAATATATAAGGTACTCATTTTAAATTAAATAATACATTTAAAGTTTTTTAACAAAGTGTATAGCCGACACTTAAAAATAAGGTTTTTCTATACCATTTTTAATATTATTTCATTTAAAATGTATAAAGATTCATTTCAAAACTAATTAAAAATAATATATGATTATATTTTTTTTAAAAATTGGATACATATTTTATACTCTAAGTTAGTTCTTTAGAACTAATTGTTCAAATTGTCTTCCTTTGATAATTATTATATTTAATTAGTTCCAAATGTTCTTAAATTCTTTTAATTTTGGTTTGCACATGGTTTTAATGTTATTTTTGTTTTTATTTTAATATCGAGTGGGATTAGATGATTAATTTATTAGTTTTTATTTTTTTAGAAATGCCAATAATTGTGAAAATGAAAATGAAGAAGACATTGAGGATGGAGAAATTTTTGATGAAGAAGATGAAGGTGAAGTGGAAACAAAGGTTCCAGAATCATGTGAAAAAACTTCAGAAATGAAACAATCGTTAGTAAATGAGAATTGTCCCGGTGAAGGACCGAAGGAAAAAGATTTTGAACAGCAATGGGATTCGGTAAATGCATATAAAAATACAACTACATTATTATTTATTAGTTATTATTATTTGTATACGATTTATAGGGGTCTCGATCTCAACAGTCTTATTCAAAAATGCATATGGGAACGAGTAAGCCTTTTGCAGGATTCAACAACAGTAGACCTAGGACCGATAGATTTCCTAGAAATAAAGGTTCTATGATTAAACGTGATTTTGGTCATCAGATGGATGACGATCGACCTAGACGGAAAAGAAGAAGATTTGATCAGATAGATGAAAAAGAACCTTTGAACAGAAATAATGTATTTGCAGTTTATATTTATAGCACAATATATATAAATTGATTACTGACTGGAATGTATTTTATAGGGGATATTTAATAAGAGAAAGAATAACGATAATCCAGTTGAGCCAGCAGATGGAGTCAATGAAGACGAGATGTTGTATGTCAGAGGAGCTAGTCCTGAATCAACAAACTTTGAATCGTTTTCTCGGGACTTTGGTAAACTAATTAGTTTCAAAACTTTATTATTGTAATTTTATATGTTTGGTGTTGAAATATTTTTAATTTTAGAAGAAGATGGTGGAGGAGAAGACTTCCGTCATTCCAGAGATAATAATTTCGGGCGGAGAGGTAGAGGTAGAAGAGGAGGCATTGATATAGACCGTCGTAATAATAGAGGTATGGGACCAAAACGGCGTATGGGTTCTGGTCCTCCGTTAAAAGTAAAACGACCAGAAGACGAAGAAAAAATTTGTCAATATTTTCTTCAGGGCAAATGCCTTAAGGTAAAATATAAACTAAATTAATATAATTAAAAATCAAAATAGTGTTAATTATAATTTTTTTTTTAGGAAAATAACTGTACTTACTCACATCAACAACCGAATGGCCGAAAAATGGAACTATGTAAATTTTATTTAATGGATCGTTGCAGTAAAGAAGATCGCTGTACTTTTATGCATAGTGAATTCCCTTGTAAATATTTTCATACTGGTATGAAATGCTATTCTGAACCAAATTGTCGATTTAGTCATGCAAAACTAGATGATGACCAGAAAAAAATGCTTCTTAAGGTAGATATTACAGCATTTTATTATTTGTAATTAATGGTTGTGAATAAAAAAAATATAATTTAATAAATACTTAAATAAAACACTTTGTATGTTAAAAACACACTTAAAAATAAACAAGTTTTTGTAAACATTTTGTATGTTTATACAACAAAATCAATCAATAAGAAAAACTATTTATTTTATTTCTTTGTCATTTAGTCATTTGGAAAAATACGTTACGATCCACCAGATTATGATGATTTTAAAACTGATGATTTTAAGGTATGTATTACAAGTCCAATTTTGTTAAATTGCAAAAAATATCATTGAAGTTTTAACTATAATATTTTGTAATGTTCGGAATTCTAGAATAAGTATGAAGAAGAACCCAAAGCAATAGTAGAAAATAATTTTAATGTTAAAAATGATAAGAATAAAATTCCGTCGTTATTAGAAATGCAAATACCTGTTCCTCCAGCTTTAAAAACTACTGAAAAGAATAATTCAGAAGACGATTCAGGTATTTATATAAAATTTATTAAATTGTATAGATAAATGTATTTAACTGTTATTTGATTAAAGAAAAAAAAAATGGAATAATTGTTGTGATTACATTTTCAGAAGCAAATAACAATAATAATAGTACTCCTATGCCGTCACCTTCAAGAGATGAAATTGTTGACAATAACTTGTAAGTTATTTTATTAATAATATTTTTCATTACACCATTATATAATGTAAACAACAATTTACCTTAGGAATGTTTTTTTGTTTTGTTTTTTTTACAGTGAAATAAATGAAAATGAACAGTTCACGAATTCGCAATCGAACAGCCGCTCACTACATAGAAGTAGAAAACATGATAAAAAACAGAAACACAATAAAGCAGCTCGAAAAAAGCATAGAGAAGAAAGATATGAACAAAAACGGTTAGAAAAATCGAGACACAGAAAAGAAGAATTACCCATGTCTATTGGCGATCCAATAATGTTGGATGAGCTTAGTGACAATGACGATGAATTCAATGGTGTGTAAATGTGAAAGATTCTATTAAATTTGTTTTACTTAGAGCTATTATAAATTTAAAAAATATATATAACTAATAATTTTTGTTAGATCTTGTTATCGACGAAGAAAAATTTCCAAATGAAAGTAAAGAGCAACAATTGCCAAAAAAGCAGAAGGAGCTTTTAAAAAGAATTCAAGTTCAACAAAAATACGTAAGCTCAATGTTTTATTTTGTCGACTTTGTTTTTACAAAAGTTTTTTTCTCGTTAAAGCATTTAACCAATGGTTAATGCAATTAAAGCATTAATTTTCAATTCGGAAAAGCCTCGAGTGTTGATAGGCACATGTTGATAATTATGTTATTTTTATAACTTATGGGAAAATTAATTTTGATATAACATCAAAATGTATTCTTAAATATTGCTTTATCATATTTAATAGTTTGAGTATTGAAAGCCTTGGAAGCATTGAGACATACCATATTTTGTGATACCTATTTTATAATATAATGATATAATTACACTAAAATTAACAAAAAGTGACTTATCAACTTTGCCATCCTACTACGACTTCCAAGTCTATTTTGCTTCCTGAAAATTATTTAATAAATATACATTTCTGTTGTCTTTAATATTATATATTAACAACTTTTTTGTACCATTTAAAATTTTAATATTTATTATTTTAGTACAACGATACTGAAGGAAGTGACGATCACTGTAGTAACCATGAAGATCATTATTCCAGCGATAGTCAAGACCCATCGGCTCCTAATTCTATTAATAACTTGTTAAGTTCGTTACAAAATTCTGGTAATGAACCATTTCCAACATGTTCAGTTTCTGGCTCACAAGATTCAAAAGTAGAACAAGTAAATATACAATTTTTCAATTTCAAGTAACACACCCAAAGTTTATTAACATTTTATATTTTTTTATATTATTATGTGAATTATTAGTTAATTTTAAATATGTATACATGTTTTTTTTTTTACTATTTGAAATAATTTTCTATTACAATGTCATTACTCATTAGCCAAAATTGGAGTGTTACTCTCAATTTAAAATAAGTTATTTAATTACTTTCAGGGTGTACCTTTCAGTACGCCATAAATTTGTTAAACATTTTTTAGGTCATCTTTGGAAAAAGCTGTATTGTTACTGGCGTCTTGTTTTGATGTAAAATATGCTCTTTAAATTTCATTTATTCTAACGGGGTTTGGTATCCATGTTAATATTATTTTGTTTATTGGAAGTATTGAGAAGGTTAATGATATTATTGGTATTTTCATTGATGTTTTTTTGGTTTTGAATACTATTTAATGTGCTAAGCAAGTTGGTCAATATATTAAAGACGACATTGTTATTTGCTAGACTAATTCCTTTAACTAGATTAATGGTTTTTTCAACAGCTAATGTTCCTGAGGTAAAAATGCTGTTTAGTGCTAGTCGTTCTGATATTTTATTTCTATGTAGTTATGACTGATAATACTTATTATTATAACCGTGTATGTTTTCATCAGGTTGATCTTAACAAAATTACTATAAGTGAAGATATAGCAAAACTATTAAACAGTATAAAAGCAAAATCTGGAAATGATCAATCAATAAAAGAACAAACATCTCCATTTCATCTGAATCCTTTGGAACAGCCTTTTGAAGAACCAATACAAGAAAAGTAAGATATTTTGTCCAAATCACATATTTTTTAGCTTTTTATTAAAGCATGTTTATGTATGTGACTTTTTAATAATGAGTTTATATTTTTTGTTCTACAGAAATATTTGTTTAGTTGAATCTCCTGCTAGCCCTACCTCTAATAGTGGTACCGCAATGGAGTTAGGAAAATCTGATGTCGATCTTAGACAGTTGCCGTTTCAATTCCCAGCCGCAGCAGCGACAGAAATACAAGCTTCAATTGATAGTCATCCGCCAATGAAATATCAACTTGTGCCAACTCAAGTTTCCGTGCCAGATTATTCTAAGATTCCTCCAACAGTAAATGTTACAATATTCTTAAATTAGGTCACAGTCCATACTTCAACTTAATACATTTTTTTTTTAAATAGATGGGAATTGATGATCCACGTCTTAGACGCAGTATAGCCGCAGCTAGAGACCCAATGTTTAGTCAAAGTGCTCCTGTAGCGGTTGCTACTATTATAAGACAAGCAGCACCTCAAAAGAGTGCTCCTCGTGATCCTCGCAAACCACAACAAGATGTTAACCCTTGCACATCAGTTTTACGGCCTCCCCTGTTACCAACACCTAATACATTGGTACACCAACGGCCCATGGACAGTGACATGAGACATATGCCATCTCCTATAATGTGTCCACAAATGATGGCAGTCCCAAATGATCCTCGTCGGAAACAGGCCGCGCCTGGAGATCCCAGACAAAGGCATAGATTTGATGTGGATCAAAGAATAAACAATATGAATAACTTTAATTTAATAAATTTTAAGTAACTTAAGTTTTTAAGTATAGAAGTGTACAGACTTATTAGTAACAGGTATTTTGTTATTATGGATATAATATATTGTATAATATAGTGTATAAATATTTTAGTAAAACATTTTTTTTTATGTTAACATTGTTTAGTTATTGTTTTCTAAATTAATTAATATCTTTTTAAAATAATGACAGTCATGCTTACAAACTTCCAAATTTTAAATACCAAAATATTGAACGCTATCCAAAATCCTTTAACATTTTTAGAGTTTGACATTTTTTTTTTTTTAAATCTCGGATGTAGGGTGATAGCAGTTGATATGCATCTAAGTTTAAAATAAAATATAACGGTTTATCTAATACTATTAGCATACACTTATCCTTATTCTACATATTCTTCTTTAAACATGTCTTAGTGACAGACAGCCGCTATGTCATGACTTAATAGTTTTGGAACAGGTGATGTGCTCTATGATCTCACACCAAAGCAAAACTCTACCTGATAAGTATCACACACATTATCATATATAAATATTAAACTTAATATTGTAGTACAACATTTGTATTAGATCATTAGCCTTATTTTTTTAATTCCTTAAAGAGCGACAGAAAATAGTTTTGTTTGTTGGAAATGATTTCCACATCTTGCATTGTTATAAGGAAATTTGTAGGTATCACGTTTTATCTACAGTGTAGGATTGGCTTTTTATTACTTGTTTTTGTTATGGAAATAATGTGAATACGTTTCAGTTATTATAATTTATTCATAATAAAAATAAAAATCCTATTTTAATATTATATTTAAACCCTGCTTATTAATTAGATACTTTTTGAATTTAGTTTATTATTTTATCAATTATTACACGTATTTACACGTTTTAATACTGTTTATAACTGTTACTTTGTTTAAAATTGTATTTAGTTTAATCGCAGTTATCGTTATTCGTCGTAGCTCTGCGGTATAAATCGGAACGACGCGTCGTTTAAAATTGGCGGCCTTTTCGTTTATCTCATGAAACATTTTTTTCTTCCATGACTCGTGATAAGATATATAACCTTAAATTTTTTATATAAATTATAATTCAAATCTACTGTAATATCACGGCGTGCGGTGAAACTCGTGTGGATTGTGGAGGAGGGCTGTTTAAAATCAAACCAAACACGTGCGTGTATCACTGTCTCGGCAAATACGTTTGTGTATTATTATTTCTAATGTAATCGGTTTAATTTGTAATTTTTTTTTACTCAAGTAATTTGTTTTGCATGGTTTTCATCTATTGACTTTCTTCATAATATATTCATTATGTTGGTTTTATTCGAGACGTCGGCTGGATACGCTATATTCAAAGTATGTCCGATATTTGTATTCATTTTGTAGGCTAGTTAAATATTTCACGTTGCCGTTTACCGATTTTGACTGTGTGTGGTTGTTTTTATATATTTTAGCTATTGGACGAAAAGAAACTGAAGAACGTCCCTGACCTCTACACGTATTTCGAGTCACCAGAAGAATCTAGTAAAATGTATGTTATATTTTTATTTTTCCACATTTAGGTATATTATTGCGTGGGTATCTAGGGATTTATTAAGGGGAGCTCTAAGAATGTATTGGCCCCGAGTGCTTAATTTTTAAAGAGGGATTTAATGACATACCTTTAGTGTGATAAGTTCTGTAATATAATAATGTAATTATGAGAAATCTACTTATAGCATTTTTCTTGCTGAATTTTAATCAAGCACCGAAATTAATTTAGTTTAGTGTAATCTAGTTTTTGATTTAATATATCCTGTTCATATTGTATGTAATCAATTTTTCTTCGGCTATAATGGCTATAATTAATCTCAAAAATATTTATGTTTCTAATTTTATTACACAAGTCAAAAAGTAAATTATTTTGTAAAGTACTATTTACGTTTTTCGGTGATTTTAAAAAACTCCAAAATTTAATTTAATAATATTAATTTATGTATTGTATAATATTATGCACCTAATTTTAATGATTTTTTCTGCTATATTTTGAATTACATGTAAAACGTTTCACAAAATCATGTACAAATACTGGCTTTTACAGTTTATTTTGTGTGTAACCAAACAAGTTTCACTGCACTTTTATATAACCATTTTTATATTTACAGAAAAACACCTATAAATACTTTTTTTTAAACAAAAATGGTCGTTCAATTTTTAAAAAAGCACATCAAAAAATAGTTTTTTATAAAATTTTTCTAAAAACAGGACATGTTACTGGTTATGCAAAATCTAGCTTCCGCATGTAAAGGCGATATGGTAGTAGAATAGAAAAAATAACTTGAAGTATTCAATTTTTTTTTGTACTCTGGGATGTGGAGAAAACATGTGGATGAGTCGAAAAAGTCGCTCTGGATGTTGTAAGGGAGAGTTTTGTGTTTTGTGAAAAATAAGAAAGTTAGCAATTGCACTAGCATATCGCCTTAAGAAAAATATAAATTGATGTATATTGGTTATTTTTAGTTTTATAAACTGCCCAAAATTTCTAACTCTGTCTTGTCAATCTGCTTAATTATAGCGCTAATACAATTTGTACTTTAAGACATTACATTTTTTTATATTATTACTATAAAATGTGTTATTAAATCAACTGCAAGAGTTAGTTCTTTTTGTTATTTTTTTTTATGACCTAATAAGCAAACAGTAAAATATATTAATTTGGTAATTATCAATTTTAGTGTCAAGTTAAAACATTTTCAAAAATTTGAAGATACTACTGAAGCATTGGCGTCGGTAGCATCTTTGATTGAAGGAAAATTATGTAAATCATTAAAAAAGGTAATATTAATAACAATTTTTTATGTACAAATAAAATTATAATGCGTATCTGAACAATTTTAGGTTATCAAAACTCACGTTAGCAGCAGTGATTCGTTAATGGTAGCAGATCCAAAATTAGGTTCTGCTATTAAAGAAAAGTTTAATATTAGCTGTGTTTCCAGTTCTGCAGCTGCAGACTTGTTACGATGCATTCGTTCACAATTCGAAAATTTATTAGTAGGTCTTCCGAAGAAAGACCTTACTGCTATGTCTTTAGGTCTTGCTCATAGGTAATTATTTTTAGGGCTACTAAACTTCAATTTTAGTTGTATATTAATTGTATAACTGCTATTTAATAGCATATTAATATATTTTTTCATTTTCAGTTTGTCTCGTTATAAACTTAAATTTAGTCCAGACAAGATAGATACAATGATTGTACAAGCTATTGGTCTATTGGACGAATTAGATAAAGAAGTAAATAATTATATAATGAGATGTAGAGAATGGTATGGTTGGCATTTCCCAGAACTTGGAAAGATTCTTACTGATAATTTAGAATATGTTAAGACAATCAAAACTCTCGGTAAGTTGTTTGATGCAAATAATAATATGTTAGTATTGGTTTGCTTGACAATAACTTGTAATTTTTAAGGTATGAGAGAAAACGCTAAATCAATCGATTTATCAGAAATTTTAACCCCTGCTTTGGAAGATCAAGTTAAGACTGCTGCAGAAATATCGATGGGAACTGAAATTGCCGACGACGACATCCAACATATAGTACAAATGTGTGATGAGGTAATATAATTTTTTTTCTTATGTTAGTAGATATAACTTGCTTAGAGTTTAAATTGATTTACATATAGATTTTTTTTAAATATGTAGTGTATAGAAAATTTTATTGTATGATCGATTTTTTGAGATGGAAATATGTTAAGTATATAAGTTGTACAATTAAATGTACATACATTATTTTTAAGAAGTCTCAAAAAATTAATTTAAATTGTTCTTTAATCATTTGATTTGACAATGATTTATAATATTGCTTTAAAAAAAAAAAACAATTGTTTGATTAATCTTTTTATTTTTATTAAACACCCTTTGTCAATTATATAGTTTCATAAACTAATTCAGTGTTTATTGTTATATTCGAAAAACAGATATTAGATATTTCAACTTACCGAACATCCCTTTCGGATTATTTAAAATCTCGAATGATGGCTGTAGCTCCCAATGTAACTGTACTTCTTGGTGACCTGGTTGGTGCTCGAATGTTAGCTCAAGGAGGTAATGTTTTTATATTTCATAAGAAATTAACAGTCAGCATTAAATAACATTTTTATTCTACAGGTTCGTTGGTGAATGTAGCTAAAATGCCTGCATCTACAATTCAGCTTTGTGGTGCTGAAAAAGCTTTGTTTAGAGCCTTGAAAAAGAAACACGATACTCCTAAGTATGGTCTTATATATCATTCCAGTTTGGTGGGTCGCGCAACTGCAAAAGTTAAAGGCAGAGTAAGTATTGACGACTATTAATGAAGTCACTTATCTTTATTAGGATACAAACTTATAACATTATTTTCTTAGATGTCTCGTATGTTGGCTGCAAAAGTTGCACTTGCCGCTCGTTTCGATGCTTTTGGTGAGTCGGACACCATCAGTATGGATTTAGGTACAAATCATTTGGCTAATTTAGAGTACAAACTACGCCTCATGGAGGAAGGGTCTATGACTAGGATAAGTGGAACTGCTAAAGCAAAAGCTAAATTCGAAAAATACCAAGTGAAAAGGTAAAATAGTTTAAAAATATACAATTATGTATGTAATAATTAGAATAAGATTAAATCAAAGTTGAGAAAACACTGGTATGATGTCATATTAGTATTTCGCCACATGAGTTCTAACACCACTTAACTTAATTCCCAGATTAAAAGGAGCCATAAAAACATTATTTCATTGTGAAACATCTTGTATTGATGTTGGTTTTTATCCCGTTTTCAAAGCTTGTTCACTAAGACATGGTGACCTTTTAATCGGTCACGAAAAACCTACATACTCATGATCGGCAAAAATTGAATTAGGCAGTGTTAAAACTCACATGACTATTTAAAGTTAAATCTAAAAACTACTTAATTTTATATTTTTAGGGAAGTTGTTCAATATCAAACTGCTGCTGATTCTACCATACCTAGTAAACGTAAGATAGAAGAAACTGGAATAAAACAAGAATATGAAGACAATTTAACATTAAAAGAAATTAAACAAGAAACTGAAGAAAGTAATAAATCTAATTTCTGAGATGTTCATTGATAATTTTAGTATTAAATATGTCTTGTACTTTATCTTGCATAGCTCCACAACCTCCTAAAAAGAAGAAGAAGAAAAACAAGGACCAAGCTAACGGTGATTCATTTATTGAAAATGGTGATACTACATTGAAAAGTGAACAAAATTCAATGGTTGCTGAAGGTAATATAGCACTTTTTTATTTAGTTGTTAATTATTAATATATTGTAACAGTACTTATCTCAGTTTAGAGTAAAAGAATTTAAATCTCAAAAGTTTTTTATTAAAAAGATCGGTAATTGTGTAGCCAACTAAATAAAACATCTCTACCAAAATTTTTGCAGTGACACTTATTAATATTTGCCAAATTTTGAAAAACATATTGTTCAGAGAAGATATATTTGAATAACCAAGTATTGAAAATGTTATTAAAAAAAAAAAAATCATTTTTGTTTAGTCTTACGTACGTTGGTAACATTTCTAATTTGTTAGGTTATTAACCTGACAGGCTAATGCTATCTGAAATATTTTTATAAAAAAATATGTGCAATTGATGGCTTGATATAGCAATATTGTAATATATAACAATTTTATACTATTTTTGAAAATGGATTAAAAAAAATAGTATAGAATAAATATAGTATAAATAGTAAGATTAATATTGTATTGAAATATTAAAATATATCATTGAAGTAATGTATAATTAAAATATTTCAATAGAGCAAACTCCGAAAGATAAAAAGAAGAAGAAGAAGAGGGAATCTGAATTAATGGAAGTAGAAGACACAAGTATTGTTGAAAATGGTAATAGTATTGAATTATCTTATCGTCTTTAAGTTTCCCTTAAAATAGTTTAACTACCTTTAAATAGTTCTATGTTGAATAAAAATACAATTGTCAATTTTAAATTCTACTTATTTTAGAACCTCTGAAAAAGAAAAAAAAGAAGAAGGATAATAGTGACAACAATGATTCTGTTGTTGTTGCTGATTCTTCAATTAATGAGTCTGTTGGTGAGTAAACTAGTCACATTTTTACAGAATTAGTTTGATGAAATTTATCAATTAAAAAAAAAAAAAAATTATATTTTAAATTTCAGCTGAGTCGGGCAAAAAGAAAAAGAAAAAGAATAAAAATCAAGTGGAAGAATCTACGAGTATTGGTAGGAAGTGTAGAATGTGTTTGTTTACTAAATGTTTAATCTATTTTATTTGTATTGCAGAAGAAGCCGTAGTGGAAGAAGTAGTGGAGAAGAAGAAAAAGAAAAAAAAGTCTAAAGGTGCAGAGTAAAAAATTATGTTAAATTTAAAGCTCTTGATATTGTGTCGATTATTGCAAATTAAGAATTATCTTAATTGTTTATTTTTATTTTTGTTTACCTGAGTCTAAATGAAATTAGACTATACATTTAATACAAAATAAATTGACTACATTCGTATGTTACACACATTTTAATGATTGAAGTACTGTTATCAAAATGTTACCATATGGTATATGGTAATAAAAAATATATATCTTATACTTTTTTTTTATATATGTATAAAAAGTAATTTACATTATATTAAAATCATATTCAAATGTTTCAGCTCATAAAATATGTAGTGAAATCTTTCCAATAATTATTTTCTTTATGTTAGGAGGTAGCTTAGGTTAAGTTTTATTCAGTACAGCTGATGGTTAATAATTATTGCATTATAATTCTGAACTGGAAGTATTATCAATATATTCAATCAGAATGGAAAGTTGTTGTGTTCACGATACGACTGTCATTTTCTTAGTTGAAAAAACAAAAGGAACAAAATACATATAGATGTTGATTAAATACAAATTGATAGTCCACGTCGTGTAATAAGTCGGCCGCTAGTAAATGGAAGCCAGAAATACAGTAGTATGGGAGTTGGGAACCAAACCAATAAAGAGCACTAACTCTCTAATAAGGAGGTAACAGGGTTAAAGTTAAAGAAGTAAAAAAGTTAGCGCTCGACGGTAACCGACGCGACGCGCAGTGGTCTAGAATCCGAAAAGAAGATGGATTGTCACATTAACTTCTAAAATACGGATTTATTTGTTAATTTGTATTCAGCGAATTCAAAAAATATAATTTGACTATAAATTTTGAATGGTTTTTAGCAAAAATGTAGGAGATATTTTCGATAGCTTTTTTTGGATTCTAGACCACTGTGTGACCCGTTTGAAGTATTTAGGTACTCACAGGCTATTGGACATCACAACATTTGTAAATTTATTTCTATTTTCCTAGTAAATATACTTAGACTTAGAAAACGCTTCGTTTGATTAAATTACGAGTAAAGTACAGGCAATTTTTTACAAAAGCTTAATGTAAAGATAAAACTGTGGTGTTTAATTATTAATTTTGTAATAAAGACTTTTTAGAGTAATTATTATTCAGAAAAAATAACCTTTACGTGTTACTACCCAAGACAGCCTAAGTCAAGTATTTGTATTACATTCGGTTACAAATTTCGGCGGGTATTTAACGTATCCGTTATCAGTATGCGGCATTGGTTATTAATTATTGATATGAAGTCTGATGATAAGAGAATTTTTTTTACAGCACTCATTGCGTATGCGAATTGCGGTGTGCCGCTGCCGGCAATAAATTACTGCCAAGTGCCAACAAACCTTACCTAAAAATTCATTGGACATTTGCCTGTGGTCAAATATTATAGGTGCTATGTATCGCTTAGCGCTTCGTGCACATTGTTGTCTTGTTAGCGCTTATTTTTCATGTTTTATTGATAAAGATTGTATATGTAATATGGTAGGCAATAGATTAATACAATTGTACTTTGTAGTAACGTTGCCGTAAACGTTGGTAATTTTTTTTTTTTTTTTGGTTTTTCGACTTAGTTACTTTTTTATTTTGGTACCGAGTAATCTCATTCTCATTTTACAATTCGCTGCAATGAAGTCGTGATATCTACTACGGAACTCATTATTGTTAAATAACGTCCAATTATAACGAGTCAATAATGAAACTTGAAAATTACCACGGAAGTGACATTTTTTTGCCACTGTCCAACACCGTTGGGCTGACAGTAGATTTAGTAAGTACCACAAACAAATAAGTTACCATTATTACATGATATTATTTTACAGTAATATTCGTTGCCAAACATTTTAGTATCTCTCGATTAACCGAATAATGTGTCAGACAGTAATAATTACTATGTATTTAAAATTAAAATAATTACAAAACTATAGAATTGTAGAACTCTGAGTAAACAATTATATTGCATTTATCAAAAATTAATTTGAAGTCTGTTACAAGTTTTCTTTGTTTGCTCAACTTCAATAATGAACATACCACATTAATATAATAATTGAAAGTTTCATATGATTTTAACATATTTTTATAATCATTTTTTATGTAAAAAAAAATTATTATTATAATCATATTTAATTTATTATAACATTGTTCTCAATTATGGTTCAATACATTTTTTTGAGTAGTATTCAAAATGATAATTCAACGGGTGAGCGTCGCTCAGTTGCACCTAACTGTGATATTAATATGTTTGTACCTAACAACGGGTTATAAACTAAAAGAAGTCAACTGCTTTAGTCACATTATAAATATTAGTCCACAAAAAATTTCTGGAGAATAAGTATAGAATACGATGATTATACTTGAAACAAATTGTGTATTAAGTAGATATAGATAATTCGCCGTGATTGCCTATCTTATATATATAAAAGTTGTTCGTTTCACACAATAACTTACCTTCAAAGTATGTTTTGTTGTACTTACATGATATGTTTTTATGCACTGAAAACGTTAGTAGAACCAGAATTTTTCTTGAGATTAGTTTTTTTTTTAATATTTAAAATTTTGTAAAACTAATTATTTTTGTTACATACTAATATCTCTTAGTATTTTTAATATTAAAAAACCTTATCGTTATATTAAAATCCTGATACTTCTATCGTCTTTAGCACAAAAATCCATATCTTTATGTGTAAATTAAATATCAAAAATGCAATTTATAGGTTGTTAAATCATTGAATAAAGCGAGCAACTTTTACACGTGTAGGATAGGAAATTATGGCGAGTTCGGCCCAATGACGTCGCTCGGCTATTCTAAATATCCTAATATCTCTTTAAATAGTATTTTTTTTACATTGGATTTTGACCAAATCGTTTTTAATATTTCTGACTACAATAATTTATTATTTAATTATAATTTGAAGAACAAATTTTTTTGTGTGTATGCTGCAATATTGAGGCTGTAATTAATTATTCTAAATTATGTGAGAAGGGAGAACTTAAACATCTTATTTCTTTCCGCTCTCTTAAGCACTGGTAGTTTCACTACCTCAAACCTTTTTTTTTGTAGTCTTGGGTATTTTAGTTTTTAGTAGATATTAAACTCGTCGTATAAATAATGTTTTAAGTTCTCTAAAATGACCTTTAAATCTTCTACAGAATGGATGCTTTATTGTACTATTTTATAAAATTATAATAAAATAATGTCATGTACTAATACTATAATAATGACATATACTAGGTAATGTGACAGTTATGAAACCTGTAAAAACAAAAAAAAAAACTCATGACAGACTGTGACACATAAAAGGTAATGCAAAAAAAAAAGGTATTGAATCATTTTTATAGTATCGTTTTACAATTTGAAAAAAAAAACAATACAATTTTTAAGACTTCAGCTTATAGAAGCCACATAATATAAAATTGCTTACTAATACAATAACTTGTACTTAACACAATAAGTAAACTATAAGGAATCATGTTTCATTGACATTATATACAGTGAATGCACAATGCGACATTTTTAAATTTCTCCTATTAATTTATAAAAATGGTATCACATGATATTTACTTATCAAAACAAAAAAAATTACCATTATTAATATTATTTGAGTTTAATAGTGATTTACAAAACTTACATTTTAACATTATTTTCTGCTAAATATTGCTATGTTATTTAGATCTAAATATATTTATTTACTTTTGTAAAGCTGAGAAGGTATTTTACAATGATGTATGAAAAATGTCTTGTATTATGAGGAAATAAAATTGATTTTATAAACATTTTCAATTAATTGGTCAAATTAATTTAATGCAATTTCATCAGAAAACTAAACATGTTACTTACATTAAAAAAATCATACATACAACAACTAATACTATTGTATTTCTAATAACTAGTTTATAAAAATTCTATGTATCGTTTGCTAAAAAAAATATTGGTAAAAAAACTAAAATTTATTTAATTAAATTTAAACATGACTAAAATCATGTAATAATAGGTAAAAGAGATAAAATATTGTTAGGGAACTCCATTAAAAAAAAAAAAAAAAAATATATATATATATATTATGTCATAATATGATTGTCATATTAAGGTAAGGTCATATACTTTTAACTACATACCTAATGAATAATTATTATAAATTAATTCAGTATGATAGAACTAACTACCTTAATACAATAATAACTTAGTTATAATTATAAATATTGTTTAATTAATTAACATTAAATCATACGGCCACTATTAAAAAAAAAATTTCTACAATTATTACCTTTTAAAACTAACTTCAAAAAATCAAAATCATAAGGTTTCAGCTCCTTTTAGTGTAAACTTAGTATGCATTTATAGACATGTCTATTAATGCATAGACATGTTAGTTTCAAAGGGTAATAATTGTAGACATTTTTTTTTTTATAGTGGCCATATGATTTAATGTGAATTTATCAAGGTAGTCATTAAAATTGTGAAACCAATACAAGTCTTAACATTATGTCGCACTTAATACAACATAGAATACTATGAACATGTGTTTACATCAAAAAATATATATAATTATAACTATGTTGATATTGTATTAAGGTCATAGTTAGTTCTATCATACTGAATAAATTTATAATAATTATTCATTAGGTATGTAGTTAAAAGTATATGACCTTACCTTAATATGACAATCATTGTATTATATAATACTAAGACTAAATTATTAGACAGCTTGTTTCGCAGTTTTTGCAAAGAAGATTGAGGGTTGAAGGACTAAGCGGAAAACTAGATACCTTATTTTGATTCAAGAGTTTTTAATTTGGTGCCACTGAGCGAGTAAACTTTATATAATTTTAAAACAAAGAGTATTTTAAACAACCATGTTAATTTTATATTAAGTATTAGGTTAAGTATAGGGCCAAGGTCACTTTGTCATACGGTTCCTTAAAAGCACATTTTACACAACACTATTTTTGTTACAATGTGTTGTTCATATTTTATTCTAAATTTGGTAAAACACATGCCTTATCCACTCCCTAGAATTTCATTCTGGGTCTTATTTCCAGGCCTTAATTTCAAACATTTGCACTTTAAGTGGGTACATAAAAAAAAAGATAAATTTGCCTTAAGTCAAACTAAAGGGTTGAATTGGAAAAATACATTTTTGTTCAGTTCCTCATTTATCAAAAAATAGGAACTATTTCCTTTAAGATCAATAATAAATTAGAGATTGCAATTAATAAACAGCTTTATTTCAAAAGTATTTATAATTAAAAATTTCAATAAAAAGAAAATTATTATTATATCTAAATGTATGGTACTATCATTTTTGTTCTTTTAAAGAGAAAAATTCCAGTTCATCGTTCTTTTTTTAAAAAAATAATGTAGATCCAAGCTTTGTTTTTACAAAAATAGCTAGTTCCAAAAATGTTTTTCTCCAAAATACTGTTCAGGTTTATGATATTTTCTTATCATAATATTATTGTGTAAATCAAATTATTTGAAGACTTGTAGGTTGTTTTGTTGATGACTTATTGATTTACTGATGACATGAGATCAAATGTATCTTACAGTTATTATTTGATAAAAAAATGTTTTATTTAATATATAATTTTTTTTTTTTTTAGGTGAATTTTGTGGTTTGCCAACTAATAGCATTATGCATAGCACCATTGATGTACGTGTACCTTCCTCCAAAGAATCAGTACTACGTACTACTCCGAGAAATATTTGGGCTCTTAATTGGACTGAACATGGCCTATATCTGTTTTGGATAGTAATGAACTTTTTTTTGTTAACTTTTTAATTAACTTGATATTAGGCCAAAAGCAAACAGTTATAGTTTAGTTACTTACTGAGGTTTATATAATGTAACAGAAATTGAAATGTGATTTGTAAAACTCAACAAATGCACTTTGTAGTTATATAACAATACAATTATTTTTTTTTTCTAAACAAATTCAAATGGGCATTAAAAATAATGAGACATTGTTTACCCATTTTTATTTAAGTAACAAATGTTTTTTTTTTACGAACTATAAGTATTCTTTTAATCGTCTCGTCAACTTTTAGGCACACGTTTCATTACTGCAAATTAGTTATTTTAGTTTAGACATAAAACTCACCAATGTATTGAGTTTACTTAGTACACACTGAGAATATACTATGGACTTTGTAGACCATTTTTAAGACTGGATTTATTCAGATTCGAGATTTAAAAGTACATATATTCTAAAAGTTCTACTTATGCAATGGGATGTGTTATTTTTAAATACTATAACAAGTATTTTATCTAATGTTAAAATATTTTAACAACTTAAATGTGACATGAATGTAAATTTGAAATTTACATAAACATAACTTTTTTTATTATCATAAATAGTAAACATGTATTATTTACAACTGCTACAGTTATTAATAATACCATGGCTGCTGCATAAGTTTGCCGTACTTAGTTATTTAAATACATATTTAATGACAATATTATCTTGCAATATCAGTCACCTCATTTTGCTCTTTTGTCCCCCTTTCCAACAACGGACTAACGACTTGTCTTGGAAAAATCGTATCACACTTGCACTTGTTTTGATACGAAGGATATTTTTTTAAAATTTAAGTATACATTTCTAATCATTTTACCAGATTGTAATTGTACTTAACAATTTCAAGAGAATAAATTGAGTTCGTGTATCAACAAAATAGATTCTTTTATAGATCAAATAAAATGTACAAAACAAATTTGTACAGGCTAGTAATTCATAAAAAAGAATATAAAGCGTTTAAGAGAAATGCTTTGAATATTATACATCAAAAATTATATTTCTGTAATTTTTACTCCATTTTTGTGTGTATTACAAACAATTTAATACTTGTTGTAACTGATAAACTTAGTAGTAATAAAGATACACTTTTGAGCAGATTTTTTTTATATTTAATATTTTTACCACCTACAAATTTGCATAGAAGAGTTTTTTTTTTCAAGTAATTTCATCATTCTTACAGACCTGTGAATACACTAACTTCACTATGCTCCAAACTCACTATTTCCCCTACCTCATTGTGCTGGCATTTTTTTATTCATACTTCTTTGTTCTAATGTTTTAATTAAAAATGTTTTTAATAGATTTCATCAATTATTTTACTATGCAAAATACACTACCACAACCAATATTATGTTATATTATACTAGTGGTAATTAAATTATAAACACAGATAAATATTTGATAATAATCATCTACTTCTTGAAATATTCTAAATATTTATGAAAATTGTCTTGTTGATTTCGGAGAGTGCCTTGTGTTCTTAAGCATATTATTTTAGTTATTTCTTATAATATGTTTTTATGTTACAGCCAAATGTTTCATTTAATACTTCTACCGATGCTATGCTACATTGTGATAAAAACACAGAATCCAAATATGATACATAAGTAAGCAAATAACTATTTTCACAAGTTATGTAAAATTGATTGTTAATCATATTGTTGCTCATAAAAAATTTCTAATGTGTAAAATTAATAATTTTGACATTTTATATCCCTCAATTTAGAAGAAAATAGATTTAAAAAAAACTAATATCATTTTTTTATATAATATATAGCGTTTTGTCTTTTCTACTGAAAAATTAGGATTTAGCACATAAGAGGTTTTTTCTTGTATGGGATGACGATATGTATATATAATAATTGGAATTTGTATTACATTTATGTATTATCATACTTTCAGAGCTGTTTTACTCGTGTGTTGTCTTTATTTGTCATTATTGCATATTTATCGACAAGTTTACGAGTATGGTTCATATACTCTCGATATAACGGGTAATTATCATTCTTTTAAATTGAAATGTCTTTTTAAAAAATGAAATGACAAAATATGAATTATATTCTACTAAAGAAGTTGTTATATAATTACAGTATTTGTAGTTTTATAATCCAATAAAAAGTGTTTTATAATTTTTGGATAATATTCAATTGTTGTTGATTAGGGCCAATAATGGTGATGGTACAAAAAATATCTGCCCTTGCTTGTGGGTTGCATGATGGATTATTGAGCGGTAAAAAAGAACAGACGGAACTTCAAAAACGTTACATGATCAGGTATTGTATATTGTATGAGGTTAATGAAACAAAGATGCTTAATTAACAAAATATACCAATATAAATGTACGTAATTAGATAAACAGGATTGACATTTTATATAATCTTTACATTTTTTATCAAATTTTAATAAATACTATTATAAAATGTATATAGTCGTACCAGTTTTAGGTTTTTAAAATAATCCAGTGATTTTTCTAATGATATTAATAATAATGTAAGGTTTTTTTTTAAATTTTTCTTAGAAAAGTACCTTCGCCAATTAATTATATTAGTTATCTGTTGTCTTTTCAAACGATTCTGGCCGGACCTAATGCATTTTTTGAAGACTACATGGCTTTTTTGAATGGTACCAATTTTCCAGACAAACTGCCTAAAAATGTAAGTTTTAAATTAATAAAAATTTAAAATATCATACTTGAATTAGTTTTATATCATAAATAATTATCAAAAGTTTATGTTTGTGCAGTATTCTGTCATACCTGTTTTTTTTGTTTGTGTTAATTTTTATTATAGGCCAAAAAACCACCATCTCCGTTAGCTAGTGTTGCGAAAAAAATCTTTATCACTTTCATTTGTGCCAACGTTATTTATTTTATTGTCCCAATGTATCCAGCTTCTATATTGAAAAGTCAGTATAACTACTTAACTGCAATAACGTAATAGGGAAGTTGCAAAATATATTGTTTTAACAAATAATGAATAACTAAGTTATGTGACGTCAGTCGAAGCTTCTCACAGTTTAACTTGGCTGCCATACAAATATTTTCTAACGCGATTTGTTCAAAACTTATTTTTCTTTGTTATGTAGTATTGATACAAAATGTGTTACATTTAATGCAACTTTCCTATTTATATATTTCAACATTATCATTAATAATAATCTCCAAAATGGAAACAATTCATCACATGTACTATTATTTCTATTTTAAGTGTCCATTTCACTTTTTTTTTATGTATAATTTTTATAATATTTAATTTGTATGTACTTAATTTATTTTTGTCAGGCGATTCGTTTTTGATCGAATCTCCTATGTATGCAAAAGTTTGGTTCATCTTTATGTTGACCACATTAACACGTTTTAAGTACTATTTCGCTTGGACTTTGGCCGATGCAGTTTGTAATGCATCCGGTTTCGGATTCACCGGTTACGACGAAAATGGTGAACAGCAGTGGAATTTACTGGATAACATTGACATTAAGGGAGTGGAGGTAATTTTTTTTAGTATTATATTTTTGATACCAGAATTGATTGTAAACAAACATATAAATTAAAAACGCATACTTTAAGGCAGAAGCTAAAATTCATTTGAATTAAATTTATCATTTTACAGTTGGGTGTCAATTTTAGAGCTACTATCGATGCATGGAATAAAGGCACAAACTTATGGCTACGTTATGTTATGTATGAAAGGGCTTCGCCTAAGTACAACACCGTAATGACATATACGTTGTCTGCATTTTGGCATGGTTTCTATCCAGGATATTATGTGACCTTCCTTACTGGAGCGTTATTCACAAATGGCGCAAGAATGGTAAATATATTAAGTCGATAATATTTTAATATTGTTTATTATTATTATTATTATTTTAGGTACGAAGATGTTTGTGGCATAGATTCCAAGAACCCAAACCGGTTAAGCTGTTATACGACGCAGTCACTTTATTTCTGACTAGACTTTCGTTGGCTTACATGACTTTTCCTTTCATACTTTTAGAGTTTACACCAGCATTACGTGTATATTGGTAAATTTACAAACGTCTGTGTGTCACTTTTTAGTTACTTAACTTTGTGCATTGAATTTTTTTTTCAGGCACCTCATGTTTTATTTGCACATAATCACTGCGCTAGGCATTTACGTTATGCCATTGGTGATTCCTCCGCTCAAGACAGTTAGGAAAAAAGCACAATAAAACTTATAAAAAAAGCGACAACAGCAAAGACAGCTATGATTTTTTACAATTATTGCATTACTTATAATCGAAAAAAAGACTGCACGAATTGATTATCAAGATTTAAAACGGTGCAAAATTAATCTGGGAATGAAATGTTTTAATATGTACCTAGTTAATACGTAGACAGGAGTATCTATTTTAGTAACATTTATTTATTAGTCGGCCACACCATTATATTAAGTCAGCATTAAAACTCATAGGTGTTAAGGAATTTGTATTTTTTGTTTTAATTATACTCAATATATAATTACGTTTATTACTATGTAAAAACTACATATTAAAATGATAATAATGCAATAAAATCAATTGATAATATATATTAGAAACAATTTTTTGGACAAAAATATAATTTTTTTTTTTATTTTACAGTATCATTTAGGCATTTTTTTATAAGGTATTGAAATTTTAATGTAATTTTTTTAAACCTATGGAGTAAAAATCTTTAAGATTTAGTCATTAAAAAAAGTTAGTAATAATATTCCTACTGTTAGTTTGATTTTATAATATTTTTAAGAGCCTCAATTTCAAAGAACCATTAGTAATTTTTGTTACTTGGTTCATAAAATTCAACATTATCTTACCAGTTAAAATTGTTTGTGCTTATTATATTTTACATACAAAGAAACCACATATTTCTCACAATGCATACTTTAAAATGAAGTCGATCTTTTTAGTTTTTTATTATGAGAGAAAAATATTGATTATTTAAATTAAACGCTTCATTTATATTTATTAGCTAGTAAAAAAATTATATTTTTTTAAATGTTACATACAAATTCAGTGTACACTACCTCGATAATCTCATAAATATTTTGATAGTATAAGAAAAACAAATTTGTGCTCATATTTGAATATTATTTATGCTTTCAATAAAATTTATTATTATTTTGTAATTTGTTGAGCTTAATTACTTATTATAGAATATATTATTATTGCATTATTAAACTAATAATGTTTTCAATCTATGTTTAAGGTATTGAAAAAAAGTATATTACGTATTTTCTGTACACTGATTTGAAAGAAAATTATCGTACAAGAATAAATGCTGAAATTTTAATGCTTCCAGCCCGTAACTCGTCCATTTAGGCAACAAGTAACGTGCAAATAGCTCTAAACAATTAGGCTTTTCTGGTAAATAAGTAATTAAAATATCTGAAAAAAAAAAAATTGTAAAGTGTTTATGGCAACAGTGACTTTAGCCGTTACGACAAATAAAAACAGCATAAAAAGTCACCAGTCAAAGGAGGTTTGTGTGAATGTACCGAGCTTGGCACGCTCACTATTAATTTATTATCTTCTGGATTCGTAAACGGCATTTGATTGTTGCATTTTCTACCGAATATTATTCGTTCATACGGCTGTTTACCCGGAGGAGGTGTGAAATTGCATACCAATTCACCACAGTTTGTCACCTGAAATTTTAACCTCTATTTAATTAAATAAATCGCCAAGAGATTGGGAGATAGAATTGGTGGGTTTTACTTAACTTAGGGTCATGAAAAAAGGGGTTTTTGGGTTTTCCTCAATAATAAAAAGTATATAATAAGATTAAATTACTTTAACCCAATACCAAGTCGAAACATACGTCACGTTCCAAGCCGGGAAAAAAGAGTGTTTTAATGAATCTATATGATTTTGTGCATTAGTACACCAAACGCACACTAAACCACCGGGGCAAGGAGTTCATCTATAGGTAATTTCTCCAAATCATCGTCTTGGATCATCGTGTATCTGTGAAATAGCAACATCAAATTGAATTAATTAGATATCATTTTAATTCAGTTATTACTTACCCTTCGTTAATTTTAACTTTCTTTTTTCTTTTTATATACTTATTAGTCCAAGGAGGATCCATTAAAATTAAGTCATAACTTTTATTTTGTAATTTGCTTAAATCAGTAACATCGTCGCAAAAAAATTTACATAACGGAGGAAAAATGTATTTATTGGTAATGTGCAAGGAAGAATTCTGATTTTCTCCAAAACATTTATTTAGTACACTAGTTTTTTCATAAAACTCGACAGACGCTTGTCTCGCACACAAATTATTATTGGATTGGCTGAGAGTTTTTGAAAATATTTCCGTTTGTTTTTTCAGTTTTGATAAATATGAACTGATTTTTGTATGTAGGTCATCGTCCTGTCAATGAATTAAAATCAATTTTATATTGTTTTGTTGAAATAATAAAAACTGCTCAGTTGTACCTACCTCCAAAACTAGTCTTTTCCTTTTACGTTTTTTAGAATCGCCAGCAATTTCGAGGGGGGCGTTTTGACTATCTCGAACAAACGGATTATCGATATGGAAAAAATGATTATAGAATTTAGGGTGATGACAGTTGTCTAATTCTGTTGGGTTTGTATTGTATAGCTCAGATATGTATTGTTGGTGTGATATACACCAACCTTCATCGTCGCTGTATAATACACTCATTCCGATTGTTTAAATACGTTGTTATTAAAACAAGCATCTAACTTGTAAGCTATTTAAGTGTATACTGTACAATTAGATTTGAGTTTAATTTAAATGAAAAAGTACAAAACGTTTTGAGTTTCTAGTTTAGACCGGGCTTTTGAATTTTGAAATTCGTAAATCGGTTTGATTGATAAGTGATAACAGCATAACGATAACGCTTACCGTTGTTACCATCATTGTGGTAAGTTTGAAAAACGTGGAAAAAACAAAATCGTCTCAGTGTAATTTTAACAACGGTTTGATAACAGTGACGATAACAGGAATTCCACAACTGGGCGTCTAAACAATAAATTGAGTAACAAGTGTTATTGTACTGTTTGTTTTGGCGTACACTTCAATTCTCTGTTCTACACGCTTAAAAGTGCAAGACCGATGCGCTTAGTAATTCCGCTCATCTAAGAAGGTACAGGTGAGTGTTAAATTTAAAATTCTCATACGGAAATTAATTGTATATGAATTAATTCGACATTTTGTCACCGCAGAATGTCAGTTGTGTTGGACGATCCAAACGAGTTCACGAAAAATCCGTTTTACAAATTTCACGAACCCAGCGATTACAAAGCGTTCTACGTTACATTAGCCCTTTGTACTGTGTTGGCTGTTGTGATCGTCGTACTCAACGTGTTTTTCTGTTGCTTCTCCAAACACCGTCACTACTGGAGAAACAGCGAAACTGGTAAAGCTGGCATTGTTTGTTTTTCGGGGGGGAAAAAAAAAGTGTTATTAAAATTATTGTTGAAATTTTAGGAAATCGATATATACTGCCTATTTGGATTAAAACGCCAGCAAAACAAGCTCCGTTGGATCTGAAAGAGCTGGAAACCAACTTCTCGCGTCCAAAGCCCGTGTACGATTCGGGAGTGCCCCAAGAATTCGTTGAGCTCCACAAAAAGGAAAGTGACATATAATTGACATAATGTTTCATGTTTTCTATCCTTTGATATTTTTGATCGTTATTGTTGTACTAGCGGTCATAATCGCTATAGTTCGATATGGTGAGCGATTTTGTTCTGTACACAGAGACCCCGTAATGTACAACAATGATCACGAGCAATTTGTCGAACAAGTATCATACGCTTAACCTAATAGCAATAATTATTTATCGACTGCCGTCACTTAGTATTAAATTATTCGAGCACTCATCCGTCCATTTACACTTATAACGTACGACCTTTAAATATTTTATATTATATTGACCGCAATGAATATCTATGATATTATTGCTTTAGATAATATACACATATTTTTTTCTTAATCTAAATATGTTTTGAATATTTGTATTGAATTAATTCTCATTAATGTTATACAACTTTTACTAATTTTCTATTTTAAACTTATTTAAAAATGTATTTAAAATACACAAATAATTATTCTCAAATGATTTTCAAGAAGCAACGAACAATTGATTTTATTGTTTTTAGTATTTTTACGTATTATCAATAGTTAATAATTCACCATACCGTTTTTAAAATCATAATCATTTGAAAATGAATATTATTGATTTTATAATAAATCAAAATAATTACTATACCATTAATGATATTATATGTTTGAAAAACTATTTTTCTTATAATTTTTGTGTATTTTTTTTTCAAAGTAAACTAATAAGCAGGAAACTAGTATACTTTAATTTAATTGATACTTATTAATTAATTTTTTTATAAATGCTGACTGTTTTAATATTTAATTATTTCCTTAAAATAATATTTATAATAAACACAATTCCGTCCATATTGTGATTATCGACTTAAAGTGATTCATAGAATCTCAATATTATAATATTTGTATGTGTATTTTTATTGTATTCCAAAATTTAAATTTTATATATTTTTCTATGAAATAAACAACGTATTAATAACTTTAGTTATTTGTATACTCGTATTTTTTAGTATTAAAAAATATCAACGTGGTGATAGCTAGAAAAGTATCATCTCACATCTAACAACATGAATATAGCCAGGATCACAATCAATTTCAAACAAAAGTATTTAATTATCTAGGTGTATAGAAATCTCGTTTAAATATGAGGTTTATTCCAATGTTTTTTCACGATTTATTCACAATAATAAAATAGTGATTTTTTTATTTTTTTTGTTAAGAATTTAAAATAAATAGTTATTTTGCTTTTACGTCAACAGAAACCGTGCCTGAAAGTTACTTCACTGGCCAAAATTGTAAAAAGTACACCTCTTCCCCTTTAAAATCGAGAAAAACAGCCAAAAAATGTACATATTTTTCAACTTTGAATTATTACGGCGCTCTATAATTTTTTTATAAATAGTCGAATTGGTTCCGAATTTGTATGAAATATTCTTTAGACATGCATAACACTACATATAAACGTGGACAAACCAAAACAATATCATAAACCCTTTTCCCTAGAAGGGGTGGAAACTTTTTCTTTGTTTCACTTTTTCCGGAAAACTTTTAGGTCTCAAGATCTGATGATAAACCAAAGGTAAATCAAGAATGGGGCTTTTTTAGCACATTAAAGTCATTACAATGTAAGTATCGATATTTGTATTTCTACCATGACAGATTCACATCGAAGAGTTTATTTCATTATATAACTTTCAGTTGTAATAATTCATATAGATCTGTGACCTCTCCCGCCTAAATATGCTCCGTAGTCCTTTCCCACTATACCCCAAACCCACTGGGCTCTGTACTGGCTTTTTTTTTGTTTTCTTAAGGCTTACCCCCCAAATTGATTGTAGTCTATTCAAATAAGAAATCCCCAAAATGTCAGATCCCTAGCTCAACTCTTAAGTACTTTTACGTGCATTTGTATTTTTGTATTGGATTAACACTAGGAAAATTTTAATAAATCATTTAAACAATTCTAACTTGAAAACTAATCAAAATGTTTACACCTTAAACAAATGATTATAGCTGAAATACGACACTTGAAAATCCTTTTAACGATATTTTGTAAAGACATATTTTTTTTAGCAAACTATCGAGTTATGAGTTTTATCAGTTTGAATGGACCCTATTCACGTTAGGACGTGAAAAAAATAATTTGTAACCCGAAATATCAAAAGAAAGATTTTTCAAGTGAAATATTTCGGCTTTAAGGACATTTTTTAAAATTGTAAACATTTTCATTAGTTTTCAAGTAGATTTTTTTAAATGAAAAATTAAAATTTCCCTTGTTAATCATATGCATGTAAAAATGAGTGCAAAAGTACTTTGGGTTGAGCTAGGGATCAGAAATTTTGGGCATTTCCTATTTGAATAAACTACTTTTCAGAGTAAGTCAAAGTATAATATTTTACAAAAATGTGTTTTTAAATAACGATTTTATAAAACCGCACTTGCATTAATTTAAAGTTGCTTAAATAATTTTTTACTTGAATACAATTTGATTTAAAAACATAAAGCACAAATTAGTTCACAAAAATATTAAACGGCTTTGTGATACGAGAAAGTGTTTATGAGACAATAGCTTTAGCACAACAATTGGGTTTTTCGACATGCAATAGATCTTTTTTTATTAAACTAATCAATTTCGTTTTTATTTCGTTAAATCGTCGAAATTTTAATCAAAAACGCCCAGTAAGTTTATTAAAGATCAGCGAACTGGTAATAAATAATATATTAATATTAATTTGCTTTTAGCGCGGCGCTATAGTTATGCAATTTCGATACACGCTTGTATCCGTCGTGTAAATATTTTCGTGTTAGGAGTAGGAGGTAAATCGCTAAAAAAACCCAAAATATATTATTGTATCTTGTCATTTAATATAATGACAACGTTGATAACGTAATAACGTTATGTTATTACTCCAAAAAGGACACGGAAAGGAGACAAAAAAAAAACACTAATATAATTTTCATCGAAAAAAAACACTATTTATTTTTTTTATTCATTTTATAAAATTAATAATTATGCGACGCTAAATTTTAAGATATTACAGTTAGGAAACTTCCTTTTCAATCTATATTCAATGACGTATTCTAACACAAACCAAGACTACAAAAAAAAAAACCAATTATATTTTACAAGCAGCTAGTAACCGTACATCATACACGGTGCATACATTATAGTAATTATTATTAGTTATAATAATATGTTTTATGAATATTGATAAAGATACAGAACCACGAATAGACAGTTTTATTTATATAATATTTTATAAAACATAATAATAGTATAATATAAAGGATATGATAATATATTTTGTTTGATGTTATACTGTTCAAACAAAACGCACATATTATTTCACCGTTGTTATATTTTTTTTTCTATTTTTAATTATAATTATACGCTACGCTAAAATAATATATTAGTTATGGATGTAAGTGTGAAAACAATCAGAATATGTATTACTAAAAGTCAATACTAAATATTATAAAATTATTATTATTAGAAAGGAAAAATAACGTTATAACAAAACAAATGTCAACGGAATCGATACTTGAATATAATACAAGTTTGTAAGTTAAAATTGTCGTAGTAGAAAAAAAAAACGTTAACCGTGTCAATAAAATTAAATTTTTGTAAAAAAAAAAGATAAAAATTAAAAAAAAAACAAAGATTTGTGTCTTTTCATACGCATAAATAATAAACGTAATAAAAAAATATAATAATAATAAAAATAATAGTAATAAAAATTGAAAAATTTAGTCGGATAATCACACATATATAAATATGTTTTTATTTTGTTCAGAAAGAATATATTGAGAAATCCAAATCGGTCAAGAGAGAAAACGATAGGTTTTTGTAGTTTTTATTTTTACAAGTTACACACGTTTAGTGGAAACTAGTAGGACGTTAAGAAAAAAAAGAAACGTAGGAAATGAAATTATGTTCTCGATTAGACAGTGTTTTTTTTTTTACTATATAATTATACTGGGGTATAAATATATAATAATAATAATAATATTAATTATATAATTGAAGTAAATATTATGGATTAAGATTCGCGTTTATTACTGTCTGTTGCGGTTTTGCTTGTTACCTGCGAACATAAAAAAATATGAAAATACATAAATATAAAATTAACTTAATTGCAATATATTTAATTAAACTTCGGAAAGAACCATTTGCCAAATTAGCTGAATTATTCGAATAAATGTTTATTTAAAATAACAAATTATTCAGAATAAAATACTATTCGATTGAAACAAATTATAGTGTATTCCAAAAACCATAATACCTATATATATATGTATATATATATATATATATATACTTTTTATTTAATACGCAAAAACCATGAAACCCAGTCTATTGGGTAAAATTTAATAATGTGCTAGGTCCAATAAAAGCATTTTTGCCCCCAGCTAAATCTAACTATAAATCCGGTCGATACGATTGCATTTGCAGGTTTGTCCGATTTATATGGCCTATATTAATAGTCTGCACTGTGTGTGCGTGTGTAGTTTTCAAAACTAGATTTATAACGAGGGTGACATTATATTATAATATGATAAACACAAACGGATATTGAACGAACAGAGCTAGGCGGAAGAGAATATTGTACATAATTTGTTTCCGGCGATAATTGCCCGATAGTCGATTGCTCGTTTAATTGGGTTATACACAATTTATTTGTAATAATATTTGGTTTGTGGTAAGTGTCGTATCGAATAGCTGTGCTGTGCCTCGTTACACCCAATTCAGATGCGGGATAATGTATTATAATATAACAAAAACCCTCGGCAACAGCTGCTAGCAATAGACCTTGCTAATCTCAGACCTGAAATAATTGCAAGACATTTTTGTCATTAAGTCGAGATTTACAGGTACCCCGCGTTAATAGAAGAAAACAAATAGCAGAACGTGACGTGTTAATGTTTATCAGTTAAATTGCTTTGTTTTCAATAGGGAATTTCGCGTTTTACAAGTTGGCAATTTAATTTATTTAGTTTGTTATTGGGGTAGTGGGAGGAGAAACAATATAATCGAATTTTTCTATTTATGATCATATGTTGCTATTTAAACAACACATAAAATGAGGTTTTTCGAACTTTGTATAATTATTTTAAATACTAAACAAATAGTAAAGTCGATACAATTTTTCTTATCGTTTTGTTTGGTCCCTGATACCACCGCCATAAAATTATATTATAATTATTATCATTACTGAGTAGTATTAGTGTGTATACACTGATACACACACAATGTGACAAGACTTAAGTGTATAGAGTGCACATACCGCGTACGAATAAGGATCGTGTTACTGCTAAAAATAAGCAAGTAGTAACACATGTGTGACGGTGACAGACAACCCGACTCGGGGCGGTGCTGGCGGTGTGTGTATAATAAGGTGGAAAAAAAATGATACGGTAGCTGTTATTTACACGGTTCGATTAGCATACACGGTTTCCCCGGAGAAACAGCCGAGACTGCTCATCTAAATAGCACGATAACATATACCTGGTGGTGGGCCGACCACCTCCCCTTCTAGGGCGCTTGTCCTTATAGCCCCGGGCGACGGTAAAAAAAGGTAAAGTAAACGAAACGGGCGCTCCGGCATGGATAACCCGATTTGGAAGGACACGGGGTGAGTTACTGGAGTTTATTTTTTACATCAGTAACTTTAACGACACCCCGGTAAAGTTTAGGTTGTCTATACACGTGGAATGGATTCGCCGTATAATGATCCTCGGGGGGAAAAAAATAACCCAGGCCGAGTGTACTGGTCTGAGATAGAATTTAAGTTTATTTAAAAAAACAGCAAAGTCGGGGCATAGCGAGGCAACGCTTCCATGTGAAAATGTTCAACACAAATCATTTCAACATGAATATTTTTTTATGGCCGAGGGTCATTTTAAAATGTGCGCTAACACGTCAGCAAGACCAAAATATATCCCAATTTTGATCTTTAATAAGAGACAAAGAAGGATGATAAGATATAAGGTGTTGGTAGGAATGGGTATGTTACGGCTGGGTGTCATTAAACATAATTATGATTCCCTTGAAGAGGAGAAAATCATTTTTTCACACATTAAATGTCCAGAAAAATAAAATTTCACCACAGATTTTGGGATTTTTTTAAAATGTTTTAAAGCCTGTTGGCAAGCTTGATTTACTTTCGGTCTTTTCAGTTTCGTTCAAAGAGTCATTGATCGTTACCGTTTGTAACCACCAGTCTGGACAGATAGATATAATTTAAATAAAAATGAGTCTATAAATTATGATCTTTCAATATGGAACATGCAATAAACGTGTGATTGATTATTATCATCGTACAAGTGAATCGAACAATAAGTTTGAGCATTTATATACGTATAAATGGATAGTGTTAAATTTATAAATACATCACAAGCTAGTTATACTTCTGCCATTGCTGCCGAATTTAAATAATCAGTTGCGCAAAAATTCTTTTGGGGGGCTCCTCAAAGGTTACGAGGAAAACGAGCGAACGAATGTATAATAAAAAAATGTATTTTTACAATTTATATTTTTTTACATTTTACATATGACTACAGATTAAACGCGGATAGCCTGATCTAAGCGAAAAAGACACTGGTGTTTTCTTTTGTACAGAACATACATACTACATTGGAACTCATACATAAATATGTCTCGAAAAAAGTCAAGTAATCGAATAAACCGCTCGCCTCGGTTACTATATTAGATATTCATGGGTATATTTTAAAGGTAAATCGAACCGGCACAAGTTCCCGATCAGACAGTCACAATCCACAACAAAGATTAAAAAATTGAAAACTTAACGAATGTACCAGACAATAGTAAAATTGTACTAATGATAACAATATGGTCGTTGTGAAAATAACCGATAACGCGATCTCGTCGGTGGTAGGACAATCGATTAATACCGACAGAGCCAAAATGCAAAGGTCAAGTTCAACGACTGAACCATCCAATAATATAGCAACCGAGAACGTACCTAATAAATAATATACAATACTTATTTATTTATAGCATTAAATTTCAACCAAACAAATGAAGAACAATGACGCAAATAGGAAGGAATCTCTGGGAGGTGTAATTCCCCCGGTAGAGGTTCCTTACAATTTCTGTACTTACTAATGTGATTTTATAGAAATTAAAATACAAAAATCTTTTATTACGCAAAATTAAACTGTACTATACACTTTTAACTTTTAACGAGGGGCTAGAAAATAATTTTTTTTTGTCGGCAGGGGAATTTTAAGCATCCTTCAACAGTTTGCCCAACGTCCAATCACAATGTTTGAAATTATTGTACTAAAGAACTATTGTAATTGGGTACTATGCCGCGCACAAAAAAAAAAAAAAAAATTATATTCCCCGCATCTAAGAAACCTATTTTGAACTGCCTCGCTAGACTTAATTTGACCTTTTAAACGAGGAGGTCATAATATTATATTCAAGCATATATTCCGTTTTGGATATAATTAAAAATACAAACATAATTTTTTTTACTGCCTTCGTATCATTAAAATCTTCAAAATGCCTAAAAACCTGCTAACCCTATAAAAAAGGGAAAAAGGGTTTTTACTAACAAAATTAATTTATTCCATATAATTTGTTTGTTATTTAACAGAAAATATCCGTTTTAACAACTGTTAACGAATAAAAATTATTTTGTAACAACGTTAAAACTTGTGTTGTTTGCGAACATTGAGTGTTGTCTGTGAAAATTTATATACATAATATATATTTTTATATTTAATAAGGGTTTGCACGGAATAAGCAAATCAATTAATTTTTAATTGGAAACTCAAGTATGGCTGCCTGACATGTAGTATGTACACACAGTAAAAGCGACTATCGTTAAGAGCGGAGGACTCTGGATTATATATATTAAATTATTAATCTATTTAATTATATTTACCACTCTGTTCCTCGGATCTAAAAATGTAGTGTGTTAAAAAATAAACAACACACTAGCTTTGTAGAAAATAAAAACATTAAAGCCATTTCTCAAAATTCGCACAGTGAGATTGGAATGTTTAAATCAAACGTACAGAAATATCCACTACAGAGTATAAATTCTAGACTTGTACTTATAGTATATCTAGATAGATACAGTACAATACATTACACGCTATTTGACAAAATTATATTTTTATGTTCTACACCTCAAACAACCGTACAAGCCAACAAATACACCAACCCAATGTAATAAACAATTTCTGTACGATATAATATTATTAGTTAATTGCAGCATGCTTATATTATGATCTTGTAGTATATGATTCATGGACGGTTAAATATTGAAAATATTGTATTTTCAAATTAGATTAATACCATGTGTAAAAGTCATCCGCGAAAAATGTATTTCATAGCCGCCCATAAATTATATAATGCATTTTTGTTTGACGCATTTTTAGACATTGTTGGGTATTATACTGCATAATATGTAAATAATTAGGTTAGGAATTTTAAATAAATCTAAATATTAAATAATTCGATTTTTAGTGACATTAAATGATATTTTAAACATAAAATGTCACTTTTTTTTGGTAATTTTTAAAACAAAATAAACAACTGGCAAACCTAACTTAGATAGATTATTCAAACATTAAATAGAATAAAATTACTACACGTTCTTGATATGATCTATTATAATTATAAAAAAAGGTTTTTTTTCAAATTTTTTTTAAACATCAATAAAAATCACTATCGAATTACGGAGACTGAATTAAAATTCAAAACATTTTTTCCCGTTAAGAAACCATGTCATGAAGGCAGCGTTAAGCCTCGTGGCCTGTTAAGCTTCAATAATATGACAGTAAAAATTGTCCCCGTGTTATTTCTTTGATAGAAAAATGTAAAACGAACCTAAACACAGCCAACGTTTATTCTACGAATCTAGCTAATAGTACATAATATTATAATAGAATATGGTGATTTGCGGTGAATGATGTCATTTTAATGTGGTAAATACTCAGCGGTGATGTCACTCGAAAACGTATTGCTCGTATGCACATAATGAATATTACACATATTGAACACACAATCGAAATACTTAATAAAACGGATGTACCAATTAATTGATTTGAACATGCTTTGTACACCCCAAAAGTCGCGTGCTCTGTAGAGCTGACTATTTTTTTAAACAATTTTTTTTTTATATGATTCATTTTTACCTTTGTTACCCCGTCCCTTGCTCTTGCACTTTTTCGTGATCTGTCTGGTCTTTTCGCAGTTGGAATTTTCAGTGGAAGGGTCCTTCAGTGTGTCTGTTCTGATCATTTCGTTATGCGTGTTACAGGGGCTCCACGTGCCTTTTGCGTACCGGCATGCTAAAAAACGCCAAAATAGCCCAAAACATGTACAAAACAACCCTCATGCAATTTGGAAAGGTTTGGGTAAAGTATGAAAACATGCAAGCACGCCTTTGCCGCGTCAACCGGGTGGAATGCCAATGAGTAATTATGTATGTTATCATCGAAAAATTGGCTTTTTGTTTTTTTATTTTATACTAATTAGTCGATAAAATGTACGCATAAAATGAAAATTACCAAATTAATCAAGCCATGAATAAATTTACCGATTTGACTAAATTTCGGGCGTGCTTGAATGCGTCAGAGTAATTAAGACTGAAGAGATGAAACAATTATGAAGCAACAAACTTGTGCGTTAAACTATGTGAATTTTACTTCTCATAATGAGATGATGATTGATTTCTGTTTAACCTTGAAATGTGTAGATGAAAAAAATGACTACGTATGATATCATATTATTAATACAGCGAGCAGGTTGGCTTATCACCAGTGCGCCCACACTAGTACGTATAGGCCAAAAGTATATCAGATTTATTGAGTCATATTATTATGGTTTGTGTATTTGCCACGGTCAGAGTACGAAAAGCGTTATGGATGATGCTGCATGCTGTCGTGTTATACAACCCTCTACAGGGGATATATTTTTTGTTTGGTTTACCTTTCTTGCATTTCTTTTCGATTGTTTTGATCTTTTCGCAAGTCTCGTCGCCTTTCTTCAGTGTCAACTTGCGGGTCTTCACGTTGGTCTTGTCGTCACACGGCGACCATTGAGATTTTTCGTAGTGACAGTTCGTGTCTTGACGATAAAATCAGAGTATTATTTTGAATGCAGACGATAATAATTATTATAAAACAAAAAACTCAAACCAACCTCTTCCTCCGACGGCTCTGATCTGACGGGACAACGGAAGGTATGCCTCGCCGTCGCTGGCCACGTTGGAGCTGACCAAGGAAATGGCCACCAACAAAAAGCAGAAAACGATGATTCCAAAACACTTCATCTGGAAAAAAAATGTTAAATGTTAATACATTATTGGCGGTGTAGTTGAAAAAAAAGATTCTCATAATTCTGTTCAACAAAAGGTGTAAAACTGTGCGACGAATCGAGTTACCTTTTTTTATATTGTTATGTCAAAACGAAAAACAACCCGCGTTTACAGCTTACACTATTGGTTTTGATTTTATGATGTGTTCACTTAGAGACACTATACGTCAATGAGTTGTACATCATTATTCGTTTACATTTTATACATGGATAAGTCAAGACGTATGACTGTGACCGCAAAATGCGGTAAACGGCGGTTGTGTAATTTAGAAAAAATATACAGTACATATAGTTTTTTTTTTAACGTATACCAATGTGTGAGCATCTAAGTCTGAACTGGTTCATTATCATAAATATGTCTGGATAAATAAACCTAATGCGGTTTTTATGAGATCAAAACAAATTATTTGCAACGAAATAATGAGTAATGTTTATTATTATATTTTTGCATTTATATAGAAAAAATCAATATGTTACCAAAGACAAACAAGTTTTTTTCTTGAGTATTTGCCGTTTTTTCTCTCAAGGTAACAGGAAATCGTTAGCAGATTTAAAAAAAATATCCTCAACGGTTGAAAACCTCATTTTTGACAATTAAAAATAATTGACATCATCGTCTTAGCTTGATGCATAATTTTTTTCATATGCTATCTCAAGACGTAAAAGGACATTTAAGCAGTAATGTTACGAAGGAAAACTCGACTTAAAGGTTACAGTAGTAAATTTAATGTAATTTAAAAAATGCAGGTCGGGTAGGAATACTTACGGACCAATATACCGGGAAACAGAATAGTGGCAATTAAAAAGGAGTATAGGAAAAACTCTGTTTAATTAAAAAAATATTTTAATTTTATTTTTCTAGTTAAATGTTTTTGTTTTCAGCGTAATATCAGTTTGTTTTTTACATAAAACATACGCCCAAGTTAAAAAAATATTATAACACGTTAGCGAAGTGTGTTTAATGTAAAATGGCTTATAAAAACAAAGGTATTGATCTATATAAGTATTGTATAGATCAATGAATTATAATTATTTATCGATGGTGAGTACTTAAACAACGGTCTACTTGGCAGTTTTAAAATGAAATCGTTTTAAACATTATGAAATGAACATAACGTATTCAGAAATCGACCAATTGGAAAAGTATCTAATGCAGACATGGCACCTGTTCCTCGTCGAGGATTTAAACATATTAGATATCTGTCATAAATACATCCATTTATTTAAACGAAATACATTCAAACGACGTGAGCATATTACAATTTATAACAAATGACGCGATTATAAGATTGATCTTGTCAATTTATAAACACAACCAAACCCTTACTGGCGTAGCCGTAAAGTATTTAAAACATAAAACTTGCTAGTGTCAAAATTTGAACACTAGTAACTATAATAAAGAAATGAAAAAAAAAACAAAAAAATTCGACTCTTCCTTATACAAACATTAAATTTAAGTGTTTGAAATAAATAATTCGATGTGCTATAATATAAAATAATAAAATACGCTTTTTATCCTATAAATTACTAATGTTAAAATTGTCTTTTAATTGCCGTTTAACTACAAATTGTTAGTTATATTGGTAGTTAAGTATTTTCAAAATAATAATTTATACGTTGTAGTGAAATGTGTAACACTTCAAACACTTGACCCTACACAGATTTAAAATCTGTCATAATAATAATGTGTTATTTGTACATACTATAAATATACATGTAAATAGAGGTACTTAAAAAGTGGGGAGCCGATACCAAAGTCTATCGAGTATAATGTCAAGGAGGAAGATCTCGTGTGCACACTACAGTGTAGATATAAATCTCTGAGTGGGCCTGGAAGAACATCCGGTTGAAATTTTGCCAAGTATATGGTTCATACGGTTATATATAATACGTTTGTGTGTGTGTGTGTGCGTGTTATAGTAAAATACATCAATTTTATCATTATATTATATGGTCTTTTGTTGTTGGAAGTGTCGTGGTGTTAACGACCGGTAAGAGAAAAGTAAAAGATGGAGAATTTCCGACAGCAATAACTGCTTTTTGCCACCCTCGTCGCCGGTTTGGAAAAAGAATGGGATTGAAGTGGAGAAGAAAATACCACCGAAAATGTATAAAAAAAAAAAGCGAAAAATCGTATTTCCATTATATTTAACGAAGAGAGAAGGGAGAGTGTTTGTTTACGCCTGAGTGCTGACGTTTGCCATAGCATCGCAATCCCTTTTATCGGTTGGTTTTGAGCAGTTCGGAGGATAAAAAAAACTTTTTGTCGATAAAACAATTTCCGAGCCTTGGCGTTGTCGTATAATCTACATATTTAGTAACAAGCGCCACAAACTAAACAAAATTATACGCCAGTAGACTCTGTAATAATATTGATCTTACGTAGCTAACACAAACATAATGATTATACTAAATAAATCCTAGGGTCGCCAACTTCAAAAAACCACACAAGGACGCTCATTAAACGCATTAAGATTACACAATTGTATCTTACACGTCATAATTCATAACTAAAAAGCTCCATGACGTGTAACCAGTGTGCCATCCAAATTATGGTTATTTTACTGAATTTCCCTAGGTGAACAGAAATTATATTATTTCTAGCAAAACTTCTCAATTCTTTTTTATTATTACCTTAAAAACATAAATTTATAATTGTAATGTAAGAAACATACGTTTTCTTCCTTTTTCTAACAAGTCACGTTATCAATGAGTAGAAAATAGCTAAAATCTGGGTCAAAAGTTCAAAATGTCTTACACTAACTTTTTATTAAAATTGGACAACAACATATAATATATTAATAACTCCAAACCACAATGCCTCCTTGATCAAACTAGACCTCGCACAGCAAAGTATAAAACCATTATTGTAAATAGGTTTTAAATATATATATGTTCTATGTTTTAAAACATTTGAATGACATTTTTGCTTTGCTTTGAAAATATAAATACTTTTTTTGCGTGCCGTATGAGACAGTGCTGAGTTTTATAGAATTACTTATTGCGTTTTTATTTTGTGTTATACGTTTATTTATAAACTTTTACAATATAATTTAAACTAACCTATGAAAATGTGTAAGATATGCTCGTGAAGTTCTACCACTACGGGGATGTCATTCTTAAGTATGACCTGAAAGTGTTAGTAACAATTTAGTATATAAACGAAAAGCAATTTAACCATAAAAGACTCGCTAAAAAAACCTTTAGCATAAAATATTACAACGATGGCATAGAAATATACACAACAACTATATTTCCTTTAACGGCGATGAATTATGTGCTTAAAGGCTAAATGATCAGCCGTACATATTTTTTTACATGACGTGTATTATTTATTTGTTTTAAACAATCTAGAAAAACAACAAAATTAATGATAGTAGCATAACTTTATTGTGTTATTGTTTAATAGATAGCCGCTAAAAAAAGGAGCACAATTCGTTCATAACTGGCACGAACTTGTACCAGGCTATCTAAAAAAGAGAGAGGGTATTTTATTCAATTTAATGAAATTATCAAATATGTATATGGGGTATAGACCGTCTAGTAGATATTATAATGGTGGTTTTTTGTATGTTAAACTCGCCTTTGTTATTAGTCTGCATACCATAAACAATGGAAAACGATTAAATTCTGTGTAAAACTTCCGTTTGAGCGTTTTTATTTTTATTTTACCATTTCGTCCAGATAGTAAAGAGATAAACACAGTGTTCTAGAATATTACATTACAGTCGATTTGAGTTATGTAAAATCTCAAGGTGAAAAAAAATTCAATGAGTACACAATAAACTTTATCAGTTTTATTTTTCGAATATAAGTGCTGAATAATGTATATTATATAAGTAACGAGATTCTAAAAATCCGGATTTTCATGAAAACACGCTATTTAAGTCACTTAAAAATCTTATAAATATTAAATATTATTACAATATAAAGCTGTGTACCTAAGTAAACTATTTTTGAGAGAAATGTAAAAATAAAACACAACACCAATAAGATAAATTGTTTTTAGATTTCGGATTGGTTGAAATCCGAAAGCAATTTAAAGTCAAAGTTAAGCGTTTTATTTTTTTTTAATTTTGAACAAAACACTATACTTAGGTTAACAGATTTATATTGTTGTAATATTTATAAGACTTTTTAAGTGGCTTAAATAGTTTTTTTTTTTGAAAATCAGGATTTTTGGATTACCATTAGGTACTATAATATAACTGTACCTACATTGAGCCTAAAAAGGGAAAAACAAGTAAAACCACTAAACATGTAAATTAAAATGTCCTTTACATAATGCAAAATAATGGCACTAAACTGAAAATGTTATGATTGAGTGAAACTCACTTATCAAAGCCCTTAAGACCTAAAAAATATTTAATAATATAGTTTACGATTCTTATTTAAGTGCATGAATACTCTTAAATTATAAGTGTTTGATGTACTTACCATGATATTAAAATGTAAATAACGATATCAATGACGAGAGTGTAATATCATATCTGTTATGGTATATTATAAATAGGTATGTCTGTCTGATACAAATAAAAATATCTAATTATAGATATTTTAATTTTTATCAGGCCACCTCAAAATTTAATAAGACATATAATTTAATTTCTAGGATAATAAGTAACCAAAATTTAAAAATATTTACACAAACTTTTCCACATTTTGTCGTTTTTCGATGAAGTATTATAAGAATGGCCAGAGTAAAATTAAGTAAAGTATTTTTTTTTATAAATTTCGCGTTTAATGAAATTTTATTGATCGCTAAGTAATCATTTTTTTTATACAAGGTAAAGGAAATTATGTGCACATTGTTATTTTAAAGAATATGAATTAAATTCATTATATTAAACAATTTTTATGCATTTTTTACAAATTTGAACCATACATTTTAATTATTAGACAATAATATACAGGACGTTTTTAGTAAAATATTAATCGTTTTTAAAGTTGATTTAA